TTTCTTTAATTTAAATAAATTATTGCTCTTTTGACCTATATGATTGACTAATAAGCGGTGCAAGAATCATACCCGCTGGCGGCCGATTGTTGCCAGTTGCGCGGGTGAGAGCCTCACCCACCCCCTACCCCTATAGCAGCCGGCCACATAGCAATAGCATGCCATGCAGTTCAACCCAACTTCGGTGAACCTGAAATCTAAAGTCCTGACCCGCCCTGCCCTCAACGGGGGAGGGAGTTCCTTCATTCGGCTCCAAATATCCGGCTTTAAACTCTGAGCGAACCGTATCCCTCACAACACTGGTGAACATGACCCGCGGCAGGGCCTCGTACCCCGTCACCAAGCTCATGAGCCCCGAGGTAAGTACCCCAAGTAACACATATTTAAGTCTCCCACATAATATTGACGTCACAAAGACACATTTAAACTGCGTTAGTCAATATATAATTTTCTTGACCATTTCGAAAAATGCGAGAGCGCAACTTGAAATTCTCGACGAACAAAGTGCGACCATCCACGCATCCTCCAACAAAACTCAAAATTTCCCGCGCCTATCGCACTGGGCCCCCATTTTGCATGAAAACTATGACGCAACTCTCTTGTTTGCAAACAGGTGGGCAAGTGGGTGACGGTGAACGTCAACGGCAACAGCCACCACGAGGCGCGCATCCTCATCAGCCCCTACACGATGCGCCAGTTCGAGAACCTGCTGTCGCACCTCACCGACAAACTCAAGCCGCCCTTCGGGGCCGTGTGGCGCCTGTTCACGGAGGACGGCCTCGAGATCCGGGACCTGGAGGACATCAAGGGCGGCCAGACGTACATCGCGTCGGGCCGCGCCAAGCCCATGTTCCCCGTCAGGTAGGTGTCGCGGTGAGCGCCCCCACCGCCTCCCCCGGGGCCTGGGCGGACGGCACTGGCGGCGTCCTCGGTCATGTCCTGCAGGAAGGCGCGCGGGCGGCGCGAGAGCGCGGCGGGCGGCCGCGAGCGGGAGCTGCGCAGCCACAGCGCGGTGGGCTCGCTGGGCGGAGGCCGCGCGGGGCACGCCGGACACGTCCTGGACGCGGCGAGCGACACCAACGTCAAGAACAAGCACGCCCTGTCGGCGGGGGGAGCGCCGGCGCCGAGGCCCGCGCCCGCCCCGCGCAGGGGAAAGTCTAGCCGCACCCGCGGGGTAGGCCACCAGCACAGCGGCGACAGCGGCCCAGAGAGGGGACAGACCCGAATAGCAATTTTAAAGTTCAAAAACTTGCCCGGGGAAGTAACTTTTCCAGATAAAAATATTGAAAAAATAGACATATTTCCACAAAATTGAAATCAAATTAAACTTCTTAGGAAAAGATTGACAGATAAAAAGAAAAATCTTGACAAATTTCCCAGAAATTCTTTACTAGAAAAGTAAAATTCCTAGACCCGGAGCAGCCTCTCATGTCGGTCCTCTTTCGGATAGGTCGGAGAACAGAGCGAGTGCGCGGGACAAGTGTGGGACGGACCTTTGCACAACCAGCAGCAAAATCACTATCAGGTAAGTGCCCCCAAGGCTGGCATCCCCTCCAGCTGACATAAAGGGGGTCTGGATCTACTAATCATCTTTTCTACAGCAACCTGTTCCTTCATCCAAACGGAAATTGAGTGCTGGCAAAAAGCACCACATGGAAGACTATGATAGTGAAGAGGACTTGGGCAAGCTGGAGGTAATATCAAACAAGTCGCCACTGCCAGGCATCAATCAAGTGAATACAAAGATGAGTGTGGGTAGAAAACAGCCTTAAAGCTCCCCTGTCAAAGTCATCAGGTACCAACAAAATTTAGTTCAGTATCCTTGATGGTCACTGCTATTTGTTTGGGATAGTGGGAAAAACTTCACATAAAGCAATTTATAAAATTCCACACATTGTATGATATTATTTTTCTGATTATAATACAAGTAAACGAAGTAGCTACAAATGTTTGATTGGGAAAGTACAAAAGGAAAAAGGGAGGATATAATTACAGTAGCATGCGGAAATCAGAAGCTTCCTCAATAAAACCTTTTTGGTATACAAAGATGCAAATGTCTCCGACACACTAAAAGAAAAACTTTAAGCATAAACAGTCAGAAGCAGACCAGAAAACTGGAACATTAAATGTTATCAAATTTACAATTTCTTTACATGGAACAAAATACATCAATTATTTTTTGTTCAATAAGTACAGACATTTACTATCTTTGCACTATGTGCTCTATTTGAATGTAAATTAAAGGTTGCTCAATCAGTTTAACACAGCATGTTGAGAATTAGACCTACAATCACTGTACCAGTATTAAATACATGAAGAACAAATACAAGAGAAGAGGATAGGGTAATTTTAAATGGGTATTTTGTCTAGCCTTGACAATGATCTAAATCCCACAAAAACCTGATATTTAAAATGTTACAACTCCAAGATAGGTGAAAGACAAGGACTTTGGAGGTAAAAATAAATATAGTAATTCAGGAACAGCTAACACTGAACAGCATTGACATTTCAAAACATATCGCCCACAATGTCATCAGTCTCTTAGAAATTTTGCTCTATAAAAAATGTCAATTGAGCTGGGAAATTTCTTTAGTCTTACAGATCCCAATTCAAACCAGTTTCTTCACAAAAAACACTTCTATAAGCAAACTGCAATATTCACACAACAGAATACTTCACAGAATCACAGGTTGAAAAGGTGCGGAAATCACCACACCAATGACTAGAGTTCTGAAGGATCATGACCCATTGTTCTTGAATCTAACTCACTTTTATGGATGAATAGTCCTTCCATTGCTATCCATTGAGCAGTAGAAGAGATTGAGAACTCTCCAACCACCTCTGCTTGACCACTAATTGGGCGTCCAAATTGCCTCCCTGAAACTCCAAGATAGCTGAAACATGAAAGATAAACATTATTTATGAAAATCATAGGGACGTACATCAAGGTTCTTTAGAATTTTACTCACGCGTCAGTGTCTACATGTTTAAGGGACACCTCTTGCTTACGGTCCCAAAATGATCCATCACAAACCAGTTTCCAGTTATCCCCTGTATCACCATCACCTGACAAAAGAAAAGTTTGAAACTACTGGCCTGATAAAAAAAAAAAACACAAAAAAACCACAAATATTTGTTAAACAAAAAATTGAAAAATTACCATTAGAGCCATAGGCAGATATTTCTTGCTTGTTTGAAATGGGAGATGGGAATAAGTGGGAATGTAAATTTTTATTTGTAGTCAAATGTTCCAACCTTATAATTGACCCACATGATATGGGTTCCCTAAGAAGCAGAGAATAAACCTAATTATTACTGATCAAACTTGTTATTATTCAAAAGAATTTAAGCAAGACTCTTACCCTCGTATGCACTGCTTTCCATTCTCTGCTTTTACCACCCAGTGTGAATTACTATCATCTTTCTCTTCAACACCAGTAACCGACTGCTGACCGCTTCCAGTACCATACTTAACATCATGGGAATGTAAACGAACTTTCGTCGCAGAATTCATTAATTTGAAAACTGATCCACATGAAACGTATTGAGCACTCTTGCCTGCAAAAGAAATAAATTTTATTTTAAGGTAAAACAAAACAGGCAAAAAATAAATATAAGTGATTACAAATACACATAAAATTTCTAAGATAAAAAGAACGCTTTTCAATGCAATTGCAATCTAACCATTGCAAAGATGCCAGAAAGGCATATGTCAAGTGCTTCATTTCATACGAGCAGATAAAAATCAAGCAGAGTAACAAAACACTTGTGTGACTAATTTGATATGAACTTAGCAAACAAATATAAGATTACACTGAGATATTTCACAAAAATAAGGATTTTAAAGGGCAAGTGTAGAGTGTCAAACAAGCCTTTTGGGTAAATTGAAAGCAATGACACATAGTATATGGAATTAATTAAAATAGCTGAACAAACAATTACCTGAGGCATAACTAGACAGAAAAATTACACAAAGTAAAACACAGAAAATGTTAATTTTTGGCATTGTAAATCTATCAAACAGTGACATTTTTAAACAGACTACGCCGACTACACACGTCAATGATTCTGATTGGTCGAACTTTTCCGCCTGCTACAACCTGACAACCAAACAACCACAACTGTGTTTGATTTTTGACACCGTTCTTTCAAATAATTTCCTATGAAATTTTTGATGAGTTAATGGATCTAATTACAAGCAAAATCTTTTCATTTCAAGCATTCACTTAAAACGATACTATTAAATTACTTCCTCTCAGTTGAAGTTGCATTAGCCGAACAAACGAAGAACAAGAAGAACAACCGTGCTGCTGCATCCGCGATTTATTTCCTCTGGTTTCCGTTTCTGCCTCATTCGTGTACCCACTCTAGCCTTGGTAAGTTGTGCTTCTTGTAATTATATCCAATCTCATCTTAGAGGTTTAGATTATGCAACCGGCAAGTCAAGTTTTCTTCTAAGAACCAAAACATAGATCTATCTATTGGTGCTATGTTCATTACTCCGACTTGCGGAGGTGTTCTACAAATTCCGATCGGCTCTAGCTCCCTCACCAGCATGTTAGGTTAGGACGATCGTGTATTTGGTCTTAAACCCCGTAAATATCCTCTCCAAATCTCAACTTCACTTGTGTTATCCAATTACGCGGTTTGATGGGTGTCTGAGTGTAGTGCGCAGTACGTGCTCTCGTGGTATATCGGTACCCCTCGGGAAGTGGTGCACTCATTGGCACTTTGCCCGCACTATTTGGCCGCGATACTATTACGAACTCACCATTGTTATAGCGCAATTTGCACGACCATGTTTCTTTGGATGTCCCTGTTTTAAGTCATTATCCTATATGTTGGTCTAATGTTCAATTTTCTGTTTTGATTTCAGTCCTTAAACACTTAAGGTATCCCTATCTCACTTCAAGATGGGTAGGGAGGATAAGGCAACATGGAAGGCAAACTACTTCACCAAGATCGTCGTAAGTACTCATATTGGTCACCCTTGACTTTTCTCCCCATAATTTGAGTTGTGTGCTGACCAAGTTTTAAATTTTCAGCAACTCTTGGACGACTACCCGAAGTGCTTCATTGTGGGGGCAGACAATGTCGGTTCCAAGCAGATGCAGCAAATCCGTATGAGTCTAAGAGGAACAGCTGTTGTGCTCATGGGAAAGAACACCATGATGCGTAAAGCTATCCGTGGTCATCTGGAACGCAACCCAGCTCTGGAAAAGTGAGTAACCTACCCTATCAACAGAACTGTTCACACAGCCACTGATGATCCTACTTATAGGAATTGCCGTCTGAACGATAATTGCAGACAAACTTATAACTGAGGCAGTGTTACACCATAAGATTTTGCCCCTGATGATCCAAACTATAGGAATTGCCGTCTGAACGACAATTGCAGATAAACTTGTTTCTGAGGCAATGTAGTTATATATTAGATTGTGCCTTTGATGATCCCAATTATAGGAATTGCCGTCTGAGCGATATTTGCAGACAAACATCTAGCTGAGGCATGTTCATGATTACTCCATCAAATGATGATCCTTATGATAGGAATTGCCGTCTGATCGACAACTGAAGCCATTATACATTCTGACAGATGGAGTTAATAGGCTCTCCCTTGTACTTGGATTATTTTGCAATTATTGAAACTCATCCATTTTTTTTTTTTTTCAGGCTTTTGGCTCACATTAAGGGAAACGTTGGCTTTGTCTTCACCCGCGGAGACTTGGTTGATGTCCGTGACAAGCTGCTTGAAAACAAAGTGAAGGCTCCCGCTCGTGCTGGTGCCATTGCTCCCTGCCCTGTCATCATTCCGGCCCAGAACACCGGTCTTGGTCCTGAGAAGACCTCTTTCTTCCAGGCTCTGTCCATCCCCACCAAGATTTCCAAGGGTACCATTGAAATTATCGTAAGTGTTAAAATCAGAACACTTAGAACAATGAGTTGGACGGCAGTTAATTGCCTTTTTTATTATTTCAGAATGATGTTCACATTCTGAAAGAAGGTGACAAGGTTGGTCCCAGCGAAGCCACACTGCTGAACATGCTGAACATCTCTCCCTTCAACTATGGTTTGATTGTCGAGATGGTCTATGACTCTGGCACCATTTTCGAGCCCAAGATCCTTGACATTAAGCCTGAGGATCTCCGTGTCAAGTTCATGGAGGTGCGGCTACTTCCAATAAAATTTTACATGCCTTTAATTATTTTGAGGTGATATTTAATTTATTTATTGTTCCTATTTTAGGGTGTGAGCCGCCTTGCTGCTGTGTGTCTATCCATTGGCTACCCAACTGTCGCTTCGGTGCCTCACTCCGTTGTCAACGGATTTAAGAACCTGTTGGCAGTGGCTGCTGTCACTGATGTTGAGTTCAAGGAAGCTACAACTGTCAAGGAGTTCTTGAAGGTAAGTGTATGAGCCTCCTTGAACCTTTCCTCTATTATGATGACACTTCTACACGTCTGAAAACTCTGGTTAACTTGTTGGAGCTAGAAATAGCTGAACCCACTGACAAGTCAGAGTTTTTGTTGCTAAATGCAAGTTTTGCCGTCTGAATAGAGGAATGTATATTAACATTTGGTTTTGTGACACTGGTCTTGATGCTGTTCAAGTCTCTGATGTGATGCAATTCCTAGCGTCTGAATGTTTTGGTTTCCTTGCTGGAGCTAGAAATAGCTGAACCTACCAGCAAGTCAGAACATCAGCTGATAACTGCCTTGTGCTGTCTGATTAAGAGGCTTTGACAAAGACCCCATGTGACCCCCTAAGCATTGTCTACCAGTGTTGTAATATGCCTGGTTATGTCTGCAGGATCCTTCCAAGTTCGCTGCAGTTGCAGTTGCTGCCGCACCTGCTGCTGAGTCACCCAAGGCTGCCAAGAAGGAGGAAAAGAAGGAAGAGAGTGAGGAGGAAGATGACGACATGGGCTTTGGTCTCTTTGACTAAATGGAGAATCTGCATCTGTTTATTGCCAGACAATAAAATAATGAAAAAATACAGTTTTGCTATAATTTTGTTAGCCCTGAAACTAACTTGGCAAGTTACTCTTTATTGAGATTTGTTTTCCAGCTGAGATAAATATTCCACATTAAGGAAACAACTTGAACGGTGGTCATTCTCATGTGGACTGGTACCAAATAAAAGTTGCAGAGTTGTACACACGGCCACACCTGTCAACAGTGAACTTGGTGTTCTAGAACTGTAGTGTACCACATGATAGTTTGGTGTTCAACATTAAACTTACCTTTAAGTTGTTGAGCATTATGTCTGAATAAGTATTTTTTAGTTTCTGTATTACTTGGTCAATGTTCATACCACTGGTGAAACTAACTGCTGAAACTAGAACTAGTACAAATGGGGGAGCAAAGCATAGCTGATCCAGAGCCACTTTCTGTAGAATTGACTTGACATTGCATCCGGGTATTTTCCTCTCAAGTATCTTATACCATGCAACACGCATGGGAGCCTAGGAATAGGAAGGAAAATTAACATAATTCTTCATTAAGGAGGAAGACTAGCATTTTGTAGTGAAATAAGACAGACCACATAGCATATACCAATGCCACCAAATCTTATTGATCTTTCCAAATCGACTGAAGTCAGTGACCTGCGTTCGACCATAATTTGTGAGAGAACGTCGGCGGACGTCATAATTATCCCTAGGCAGAGTGGAAAATTTTTGTTCACATTTTTACCCAGCTGAATGAAGCAGAGAATATTTGTTGTTAATGTATCAAACCTGTTTCGACAGCATGTATTATCAGAGGACTCCTCTTGTAAGCATTTTGATAGAGACGTAAGGCATTCATTGTGTGTCAATACAAGTCTGGTGACTTACAAGATAAACGTCAATCACAAGGTCCGTTTCCCGCGTGTTCCATCCGTAACCTTAAATCTACAAACATCAAAATATTTTTTGATCAGAAATTCATGGTAGCTGAAATAGTCCGATCAAACGATGTCTGGTGTGGTATCCTACCATACTCCACTGTAGGCCATGTAGAACTATGGCTGGATAGTAAAATATGACCTATTTCGTGACATGTCACAGCGCACAGTGCGCACAGTCACTAGCTGACGTCGCTAGCAGACGCCAGCCTTGGCCTTGATTATACAGGTCAGCATTTGGATTGCTATTGGAGTTCAATATCCACCCACCGACACCGACACATGCATAGTATGAAAATTTTAACGTAAACAACAACAACGTAACGAGTTGTTGAGTTTATTTTTATTTTGGCCAAACTTCTTTCATTCAGTTTACCGTTCCTATTCTTTAGGAATTTCTTGCCGAATTCCTACATTTTTGCTCGTTCTTCCAAGTTGTTCCCCCTTGACGACGGCTCCAAGCAGTTTTGTGGCTAGATGTCTTATCTAGTGATTCACCATTTATTTGATCAAATTTGCTCATCCATCTGATCCAATTTTAAGCCGGTCGGTGGAAAGTCTTACTGAGAAGCCCTTGCTATGGGTTTCACTTAAAAATTCTGGAATAGGTAGCATCACTCTTTGAGTGTCAATCTGAGCACAATTGCCAGTTGTCAGGAACATGAACAATAAATCCCTAGGTTGTACTAAACATGAAAGCGTAGTGTGAAGGAGCCAGTAGATACTCAACAAAGATGGGGCGCTCAAAAGGTAAAAGCTTTATTTATTAATACAATTATTTTATTACCATAATTTCATGAGTGTGCAGATCATGGTGTAAATCTGGCTGGGCTGAAACCAAATTTTTGACTGTCATTTATTTATAAAATTTATCTCTTTTAATATTGCAGGACCTGGAAGATCAACTCAACCCAAACAGAAATGGAGAAAAATTTTGTATGGTAACAGGGAATACCCAGACAATTACACTGACAGTTCATTTCTGCAGGAGATGAGAAAAAATGTTCACATTTATCATGTATCGTTTCATGAAGCGTTTTTGGGCGCTGGAAGGGTAACAAATGCATTGTGCATTGTCGTATTATTTTGTGTAGTATTTGCATATTTATATAAGCAGTCCTTAGATCCTTATACCGTTTTTGTGTATAATTGTGCAGGAACTGCCATGGGATACCTGTGGTATAGATGTCAAACAATTTTTGAGGATGGGTATTGGAATTATTTCTTAAGAGACATGAGAATGGTAGTCATCTTTTTAGCTGTAGGTTTTGCCTTGTCTCCAATTTTAAAAACCTTGACTGAAACAATTAGTACTGACACAATTTATGCCATGACAGTATTTATGATGTTTATTCATCTGGTTTTCAAGGATTATGGTGTTTCAGCAGGTATAGTTAGTAGTTCCCTCTCTTTCAATGCTGCCATTTTTGGATCAATATGTTTAGCTTCAAGGTTGGCGTCATCATTTCATGCTTTTGTATTACTCTCATTATCTGTTGAAGCTTTTGTTCTTTTACCGGTTCTTATGGTAAAACTTGGGCAATCAGTAACATTGTTAGTATTAATAATTTCAGTAACTATCACAGCTCTGTGGAGCCTTTCTAGTTCTATGACTGTATTCTTCATCCTGTTTATTTGTTTTGTTAATGTAGTGTGTCCCTTTTGGTTTCTGAAATGGCAAGTTTACAAAGAAAATATTTATGGACCTTGGGATGAAGCAACAGTGGAGGATGCAGATAACATATGTCTTGAATAAAGAGAGTGTACATTTGATTAAAATCATTTTATTTACAAAATTACAGAGGATTAAGTTCATTTTTAAGGAAATAGACTATTTACTTGACAGGCACAAATTGAAGTAACCGTTTGATCCTGCGTAGTAGAGCTTCGATGAAGCCCTTCTCAATATCCGATTGATTCTGAAACAAAAATTAAAATAATGAAAATGATTCTATTAACAAACTAAGAGTAAAATTGAACTAATAAATTATAAACTTACCTTCTTAGTATCTACTAAATCCTTACTAAAACTATCATTAAACTTAGATACCAAACTTTGCTTCATAAGACTAATATCCTCCCTGGAAACTGGCCAGGCAGAATTGACAGGAACACCCATAACTGAAAAGAAAATGTCATAAGAAAACGTCACAAGAAAAAAATATTCCAAAAATTTACACAACATAAATCGAGTTTACCATGAACTAAGGAACTATCTAAGTTTATGCCTGATCTAGGATGAGGAAGACCTCGGTGCAAGTAGAAGTCTAAATGAAGCCAAACTAGATACAAGCAATTATCAATAATGTAAGATGTCAGAGCCAGCTCGCGTTCTTTGCGCTGCACTTGGGTTTTCAGTTGTTGGACTGTAAAAGCACGTTGTTCCAGAGCGCTCATTCCATCCGGTAAAATCTAAAATGAAATATAAATTTACAAATTTGAAAGCACTTTATAACAATGCTATAATTGACATATTAAGGGCAAAAGAAGTAGCAAACTCACGTCCTGTAGCTCCATGGGATTCAGTTCTGAAAAGGATGATGGTTTGCGAGTCAACATTTCCAGTTCTCTACGTTGACTTTGATAGTGAGCAACACTAGCAACTAGCTGTTCAACCACAACACCCAAAGCTGGTTGTGCTTCACTGACACGCTCACCACTCCCAGTTAAACCAATGCTTCGACTGCTATAGTCACCTGCAGAGGATAGGATTAGATTTAAACCACATATCCATGAAGAAGTGCCCTTTTAATGTAGTAACACATACCAACAGATTGAGTATGTTGAGTGGCCATTGAAGGTCTGAATAAAGGTTGAACATTTCGCTGATCTGGTGCAGTTTGACCGGCCAAGTTTCGGGCATAAAGAAGAAGGTGGGCAGCAACTTGAAGCACATACAGAACAGCTTCTCCTCTTTCATCAGCATTTTGTGAAATTTCTTCAACATTCCTAGGGAATAATTGTTTTGTTTCTGCTTAGAGCAAGACAAGCAATGGAAAAATAAAACTTTGCTAATTTCTCAGTCTCCTCTACTCACCTTGCATCACCAAGAGTGGAAGTTCCAAAGCCTTTCAATTTACGCATTAAAGGTTCAGAAATTATGAAATGGGGGAAAAGAGCCAACATCAAGGTTTGGATGCGTAACAAATGAGCTTTGCGATCTCTCTCTGCTGGGACGGGAGAATCTGGCTGTGTCGAATAGAGTTCTACCAACCAAAAACATTGATTAGATCGATTGGTGAGTAGTTACATAATGATAAAAAAAGATTTTTAAAAAGGCTCCAGAAGGCAACATAATTGTTTCATCTTACCTTGATTTGCAGACCGTGCAATAACAGCTGTGACATGTACAAGTTCCTTCAAATAGCTTAGAGGTAGAAACGGACTTGCAGATCCCAAAACCAATCCCACAGTTTGAACATGACTAAGAAGGAAGTGGATGACTTGTACCACACAGGATAAATTCTCCATTCCCAGTGTTGTCAAAACAGCATCACAAAGATGCAAGGCAGGAAGAAGAATTTGAAGATAGCGATTACCAACTGAAGGGATAAAATCAGCAGAAGATGAATCAGCAGCTCTGAAAGAAATTAAATAAGACATTACATATTTCAGTCCATATGGATTGAATAAGAAGTCCACATTGAAATATTTCTAATTTACCCTGCATGCATTATAGGATGATGGTCAAACACTTTCATGGATGCCATGACAGCAAGAGCTTTCTGTTCTAAAAGCATTTCAGCTCCAGTTCGAGTAGATGCAACCCGACAAAGTAGAGCCATTTTACTTTCATATACATAAAGTGGTCGAAGGGATTCTGGAGAAGCATGTAGCATTGATTCTAGCTGACCATCTGAATCCAGGAGGGAGTCGATAAAATGTTTAAGGTAACCTCTTCCAGATAAAAATGACACCCAAGAAGAATGAGGATCCAGTTCAATCAGCTTATCCAAGCATGACAGGGCCAACATCTGAAATAGTGAACGTTATGGTTCAAAAGGGTTTCAGGTTTATATGCCATAATAGTATATGCCATAATAATAATCTAATTACAATCTGAAATGAAACATTGACTAATCAAACAAAGGTGCCTACTTTACCTTGCACATGTCATGTCCCCCAGTTCCATCATGGCACATGACATCAACAACCCCTTCACCAAATCCTAGAACTAAATCTAAACTGGCTTGTAGAGGTGTTTTCCTCTCTTGCCTTAGTGGGCTTCCAGTAACACTGAATGACATGCTGGTTACACTTCCCATGGAAATGGAAGGATCAGGGAGAATCAGGTTGAAGCCGTGATCCTCTGAACGAGTTTTTTCAGGAAGACAAACAATATGCATAAAACTAAGAAGTGAGCTGTACAAATTTGCCCGAAGCTTTTGAGAGGCAACACCTAAAGACAGAAAACAGAGTAAGTATCTGGGTGAAATACATCTGAAGAGTCACAGCAAAAAGAGGGTGACATACCAGATCCCAGCATCCACTGCAAAATTCCAGACAAAATTACATTTAGTTTAGCAGTGTTTTCTTCCAACACAGCTCGTCCATTGCCACTGCCTTGCCCACCTTGGGCAGTAGTCTCAGAGAGGCTAGCATTTACAAGACCACCAGCCAAGACCATGCAGTCATTATCTGGTCTTCCATTGGCCATTGATTGGGAATGGCCTAGGGTTGAACTACCACTTTCAGGGCGTTCACCAAGTACATAGGAATGACGAAGATTTTCCAAAAGTAAAAGTAGAGCACTTGATGTGAGATTTGCAAGCTCGTTTGTCATTTGCCCCATCAATACCTGTAAGGCAATAAGTTGTTTTAAGATGATAATTTTCGGATTTAGATGGATAAGAGTTAAAAATAACAGATAGCACACCTTATTGATCAAAAGATGAACGGTATCAAGAATGATCTGCAAACGGCCAGGACAGGGCAAGATTTCAAGTGGTACCACACAGAAGAGTACACCAACAGCTTGTCTCCACGCATCCATAAATTTCACATTGGCATGGGTGTGAGTGCGTTGTTTATTTCTTTCCAAAGCATACTTCAGAACCGTCTGCAAACATTGAGATTAAGTATGAGAACAGGACAGTGCAAGTGATAAATTCCTTACACACAGTAATTGAAAACAAAATTAAAAAAAAATAAAATCTAACAACCTGAATTTCTTCAATTATGGACTGTCTTTGTCCAACGGTTGAATTTCCTTGAACAGCTGACAGCTCATCCATTAAAATTCGATGGAGTTTTTTGACATCCACTAACTTTAACCCAGGGGCCATTGTGCTTTCACACTTGGAAAATACCTGTCCAGAAAATACAGTACCACAATTATGATAAAATATTATGAGGCCAACACAATAGGAAAATAAATACAACCCACACACCTCCTCAACATTCTTAGGATCAAAGAATTCCCAATTTGGTGTAGATAAATTTTCAGCAGAAGTATCAAGTATAGCAAGAAGTTTCAGCATCAGGCGGTCATATGGTTTATTATCACCATCTCCAAAGTTGGAATGTCTTGTGATATCAGGAATATGGGGAAGCTCCTCAACTTCAAAGAGGGTACTCCGAACCTTTTCTTCATGGGAACTCAGCAAAATCCTTGCCAGTGACGCCAAATTTGAGTGCTGTGACCGAGTTGCAGCAGCTTTCAATTCAATGGCAACCATCTTCAGCAGCCATGACATCTGGTTGAGTTCAGGAGCACTTTGGGTACCAGAGAATGGCAGAGCAGCAAGATGTCTTGCTAAGAAATTGTTAGATGTACGTAAAAAGCGAAGAACAGGCTGACCTGTTTTGCTACCAGCACACAGATTGTACAGTAGCCCATAAGCTGCTTCCAAAAGCTTAGCTTGTGCAGTAGCACTGGGTGAAATTTTAGATTGCACATGGCGTGATTTAAGGGAAGTATCCATCATTGCTAGAAGAGAATGCATACATGTTCGAGGAAAACCCATCACACCAGGCTGCTGGAACACAGTCTTGCTGATGTCTTTTGTCCGTTGAAAGCCAAGCAGATAGTGAGATATATTGGGTGGAGCCTGATTTAAGCAAGATTGCATCAATTTCAGGATAGCCTCTTTAGTTTTCAGGATGATGCCGCTTTCTTCGCCAGGCTCATTTTCATCACTGCTTTCTTCTTCAGCCTCGAGGCACTCAACAAAGCCATGGCGTATCTCCAGCTCTAAGCTTGGGCTTGAAGTGAACATGTCTACAAGCTGTCCAGCAGCAGTGGGATATGAGGAGACAGCCAATAAAATGTGCACAGCAGCAAAGGCGTGGCGTGGCAACCAATTGTTGTACGTCACATATTTTCCCACACTAACAAGAAAATCAGGCTTCTTTGTGCGCGAGTTGAGACCTAACAGAAGACGACTGAGTCCAGTCAACAGCAAATTAGAGTTCAGGCTGCTATGGAGAATGTGGAAGCGCTGTTGAAGCCCTAAGGCTCGTTCAAGTAACTGCAAACATCCAAGCATGCTGGCTTCAAGAGCCTCCTTGCCAGGGAAAGGAGCATAAGAGTCTAAATAGCCACATCCTTCCTCCAGTAAATCAAGTATGTGGCGCAGTAATTCAGATGGTTTGGAGTGAAGCTCGATCATCAGATGGAATCCTGGTGGTGGGTTAACTTGCGATGGGCCTCCACCTTGAAGATCAACACTAGCTCCAGGAAAATCTTCAGGTTCGGGGTCATATTGATTTAAGAACTTTACCAATAAATTCAAACAGCTATGAAGTATTTCCCACTTTTCCTGGGGCTGTTTGTATTTCCGGGAACAGGCTTTCAGGAAAACAGAATGAAGCACATAACTGAGGTACGGGTAGAATCCAGGTGATCTTGATCCAACACCAAGCAAACGTGGCACAGGCCAAGTAGTGAGAACATCTAGGAGCTTAAGAACTGCTCTGGTCAAAGGAAATTCTTCAGCTGGGGATTCAATATCCTCCAACTCGGTTTGAACTCCTCTGGGCTGATAAGTACTTGTTGATGGAACAGTGCAAATAATCTGTGCAGCTTCCATAGACACCCAGAGTGCTGCTGCAGTATCCGGTGCATTAGCAAGAGCAGCCAATGTTAGTAAAAGATCAGCTTTCAGTATGACAGGAACAGAACAGCTGACTAGTCCAAGTAAGACAACCAGAGGAGACCAAGTGGGGTTTTCACTAATTGCAGCTCGAGAGACTTCATCATGTTCTGCAAAATAACATCTGATTGTCAATAAAGAAACATACCTCAAAACTACAAGGAGATGAAAATTGAACAAAATTTAAATTAACCTGCAACAGCCCGAATGAGACTCAATACAGCTTGCAAGCCCTGAATCTCTTGTGGTGTAATTCCTCGGGGTTGAATAGGGCGATGATAAACAGTATCAGCTTTCGAAATAGGTTCTTGCCTCAAATTAAAATAGTACCTGGATCAAAAGAATCATGATTAACTGTACTACAATAAATCCTGTCTAAATAGTGAGTTACTTTAAAGGGAGTCAACAAACCTATTAAGAGATGTGAAAAAGTGATCCCAAGAGATAACACAACCATTTGCTGGACTATTTTGTTTCAAGAGATTGTAGCAGTGTCGAGCAGCTTGTTGAGTTGAAGATAAGCTACATAACATTTTCATGTAGGCAACATACAGTGACGGGGATAGATTATCAGCAGACCCTCGAACAAATTTAAACAATGAGACCTGTAAAAATATTAATATAAAGTGAATACAACCCTTACATAAATGAAAAACAGTAAAGCACTGTACGACAAAGAGGCACAGGTGATCAAACTACAGTTGGATAAAATATCATACCTGTCTGGAGTTCGATCGATAGGGAAAAGCTGAAGATGTTGTACTCTCAGTAGGGCACCAATAATCAAGTACCAAGTCTAAGTTTAAGGGATCTTCACGGTACAAACGAGAAATAGTCAGCATAAGGTGCTCATAATGATGCGGTAGATTAGGAGGAGGTTCCAATCCTTGCTGTAGTAAAATAAGGGAAAAAGTAGTAAAACGTACTATTCTTGGTGTTGTTTCTAGAGACTTAAGACCTTTACAGTAAAAACCTACCTGAGCATAACTTTGGACAGTGCGAGCCGCATCTTCAGCCCGGCTTCGCAATTCTTTCACTTTTAAAGGCATGAAAACAATGAAGTCAGTGACCAAACTGTGAAGGCGTCTCATGTACATTTCCTTTGCAAAAAAAAAAAAAAAAAAAAAAAAAAAAAAAAAAACAATTACAATGGAAATACAATTTGAAACAGAATCAAGTAGAATTCCAGCAATAGTTATAGGTACCTCTTTGAAAATTGTGGCATTTTCCAGAAAGGTGCGTTGCAAAAAATCAAACACACCCAAGTTAACAGCAGAGTTTATAAGTGAGTCATCTTCATCTAACATTCCTGAAAGTGGAAGGAGGATTAAGTATACTACCCAGCGTAATGAAGGAAATATATTTACTGTTGTTCACTTGCCTTGGGTTGGTTGACTATGGTGAGAGCGAATTGTGGCAAGAACTAGGCCCCAAGCTAAGAAGGTGAGAGCTTGCAATCCCTCACATTCCCAGGAAACCGAGTTGTGAGTGAGCTCCCGGTGCAGAACTGGTAAAAAGTCTGGGTCTGACATAAGGGGTAACAACTGAACTGCATCTGTAAGAGAGCAAACAATCTTTTGAAAAAGGCCCAAATTTAATGGTTGTTTAACAGAAAAATATGAAGTAATAATTTATATTTACCTTCACCATCTTCCCTCCTCTGGAGAATGCTCAAATCCAATGCACAAAGAAGTGCCATTTGCAGAGAAAGAGTTACACCATCTATCCCTCCAGTTGAACCTTCCTCCAGCTTGGTCCGTCTTAATTGTTGAATGAGTCTCACTGTTGGTTCTCTTGGCAATCCACATTGTACAGCCCAGCAGTACACTATATCCGCAAGAATTTGTTTTGTTCCTTCCAGAAGATCTACAACCTGACGATTATGTTTGGGACCTCCAAAAGCACGATTTTGCTGCAACAATTCTGTTTCCTTAGATAAATCCATACTGTCCAAGAGATTCAGAATTTTATTAATGAGACCATCTTCCATAAGTTTATCAGTGTAGTCAGTAATGTAGTCAATCACTTCAGGATTGACTTCCAGGCTCCATGCGACACCAGCTCTTGCCTGAACAAGTGTTCTCAAGGTTGAGACGAGAGCTTTTCTACCATCATAATATAGTAGCACAGCAACTAATCCTCTTGGAAGGCCAGGATGGAATGACATTTGCCGCTGAGCCGTACAGAGTAAGTCCAGAGCTTGATATTCATTTAGATCGTACATATCAGAAAGTATAATTGCTTCATCTACTAGATCTTTGGAAAGAATTTGATGACCCATCCCTGGCAGATTGACACCTTCTGTCATACCCTTCTTGAGCTCTTCTCTACTCTGGGCATTTTTCGGAGGGTTCTTCAGTAAATTAATATAATTTTGTTTGTGTTTCTGAAGATAGTTGTCCAAATCTTTCAGAGGATCAGTCATTGATCTAGTCACAATGCTGTCCACAACACTTTGAAGCTCTTTGTATGGAGTCCACATATCTTGATTTTTGGCTGGAATTGATGAGAAAAGTAGACAGTCAGCCACAGTAAAAACAAACATGATGAAATTTGTGAGGTGACCGTATAAAACTTCACTAGAGAAAAAAGGGTAAAAAACATGTGTATCATGAAGGTAATTTACTCATACTACAAGCTCAGCATTAAATAACTTGAAATTTAAAAGAAATTATGTGTTGTCAAGTGTTGTTCAGAACAGTAAAAATGTTGCTTATCACAGTATGTGTACGTATTAAGACCCGTTGAAAGTACACAAAATTAAAGAACTACAGCGATGCACTCAACTTGAAAAATACATAGGACTGCCAGTTTAATTCTGGTCATGAAAGAGAGAAAGATGCAACAGTGATTTAAAGAAAACATTAGATTAGGTTATGGGCAACCAGACTTGTCACTCCAGGCTTGATTTCTGATTTTAAAAAATCATATTGACGTGTATGCAATTTCTACAGAAAGACTTACTCTCCATTTCGGGAAAAGACACAGTTCAGTCGTTGTGTTTAAAATGTAATTATTTATCCGGCGTCGCCGGTACCAGACGCATGGGCCCGCCAAAGCGAGCGATTTGAAACACGGCCTCCCCGATAACACACTTGCATAGTGCAAGGCAGTGCAACCGGATGTATTTTGACACGGGTTTTTGAACTGTTGTTTTTGCCCCAACTACAGGCTTAAGAGACATTAAACTGAAGAGAAATTTTAACCGTGGTTTGTCACCCTTTACAACTCTTTCTCTTCTGTTCGAACGAAAATGTGTGGACGGACAGCATGGTAAGATGATTCATCTGAAATCGGAATTTCCACCCTAAAAGAACTATGAATGGGCGCTGGTCATGTCAACAAATCTGTTCAAGAAACATTTATCGTCGTATTATGCTTATATTCCGCATTCGTTTAAAATGTGTGCATAATTACTCTTTTTCTCCTCGAACTCAGTGTTATATTATATACCCTTGGCCTGTCGTGATGCATGTTTGTGAAGGTTATTCCTAACCTGATTTTTTTCTTCTTTGTCATTAGTGCCTTGGACCCTGAAAGCATATGTAAGGCAACATCATACCGTGATCCTAAATCCGGAAAATATAAGAAGCCTGAATGGAAGGAGTCCAAGTCTGGGATGGACTATAGACCATCAGTGAACATTGCTCCGACTGATGTTACACCTGTTCTCTTAAATGCCTCTCATTTCAACAAAGAAGAAAATGAGCCCGTTATCTACCCTATGATGTGGGGCATGATACCACCATGGCATAAGGTATTTTGCTTAATCTTTGGAAAAAAAATAGCAAGTGTTGAAATGAATCCCTTGCATGATGAAGTGCGCATTGCATTCTTTTGGAAATTTGCAGGGTGAAATTAAGTCTCATGGCTTAAGCACCAACAATTGTCGCCTTGAGGGTGTAAAAGAATCAAAGCTTTATTCCCCTGCCTTACAAAATGGTAAAAGATGCGTAGTATTGTGTGAAGGATTCTATGAATGGCAAACTACAAAAAAAGATTCATCATCTAAACAACCATACTACATATATGCTCCTCAGGATAAAGAGGTATGACTTAAATATTCTTTGCCAAAAAAGTCCTTTCTATATTTTATTTTTAAACAGTTGACAACTCTATTATGGAATTTTTATTTCAAGGTCTGTATTGAAGACCCAAAAAGTTGGAAAGCCGAATGGAATGAAATAGAGGGCTGGAAGGGACCAAAGTTATTAAAAATGGCAGGTCTCTTCAGTTGTTGGACTTCACCTGAGGTGAGCTGCGACTTTTCTGGTGCAAAATTTCAGTAAGATCTAAATTAAAATTAAATCCAACTGTTGTGATCAATTATTATTTCTAGGGGAAACCTGTTCATAGCTATTCTGTTATCACAATGGAATCAAATTCAACTTTCTCCTGGCTGCACCATCGAATGCCAGCCATTTTGCATAGTGATGTAGAAGTTATGGTCAGCGTCTATTTTTCTTGATAAGAACAAATTTATTTTCCCCATCATTGTTTTGAAAAGAATATTTTTGTTGTGTCTCAGGATTGGATAGATAATGGGCGGGTGCCAGCTGATAAAGCAAAGGATCTTTTGAAGCCAGTGAGTGACTTGAAATGGCATCCTGTTAGTACTGCTGTGAACAATTCACGTAATAAAGCTGAGAGCTGCAACAAACCAGTTGATTTGAAGTGGGTATAGTAGTGCCAAAAGTGCATAAAATGTGAAAAATCGCCAAAGAGTTTATTTAAACATTGATATAACTCTTTTTCTTTATTTTAAAAGGAACCCAAAGCCTGTTAATCCTCTTATGATGAACTGGCTCAAGAGGGCAAATAACACTCAAGCAAGCAGCTCAGCAGAGTCGAAATCTGATAATTGTGAAACACCTCAAGCAAAGAAATTCAAGAAAGAAGAACCCAAATGATGAGGTGAGATTAGACACCAACAGCTTCAAAATGTGTGATTTTAATAAAACTATTTAATTGGTGCATAGATGACAACCTGGCAATGAAATTTTTGTAGACAAGTGTGTCCTTTTTATTTTTTAAATTTTTAAACTCTTCATAGTGTTAAACAGATGTCGGTTTTTCCTTTTTTTTAAATGAATAAATTGTAGAGCGTCGTATGACATGTTCAGTGTTTTTTAATAGGTGGTTGACATTGTCAAAAGGAGGCTTTGCATTCTCCGCCGGCGTCTCATCACCCTCCCTGAAGCCAAATCATGCTGCAAACTTCACCCAGGTTCGGGGACAAGTATCCAACTAACGGAGAAACACGAACGCCTTGAGTGCAGGTACCTGCGGTCCAAGAGGGTGTGCTGTGCAACCCCGCCACACTGCGGCGTTCGCTCTGATACGCCCGCGTGGTTCATCGTTGCAAATGAAAGAAACGAAGCCATTTGTGGGTGCACTCGGTCAAAGGACCATAGTCCGCTCGGTCCCCTCCCAGCGCGAATGGTCGCGCGGTGCGGTGAGGTGGGCTGCGGGAGGGAGGGGGGGGGGGCGCAAGCCTTGCAGTACAATACGCCTCGCGCGGTTGTCGCATTTGTGATGATTAGCAAACAGCTGTCATGCCCGGCCGAGGCGCGCGCCGCGACCGAAGGGCGTTATCTGTCGTTTGCCGCGCGGACGGCCGCGACAACCCCAAGTGGTTAAACGCCTCTGTGGCGGCAGCCGCGCGCGAGGAACCTCTCCGGTGCATGGCCGCGCGCGTCGCGTAGTAACAGGCGCTATTATACATGCGAGGATTAAATCGCCGATAAGGAAATGTAGGTAACTGGCGAGTTATATTGCGTGTTGTTTTCGACCCGTATCTATTTGATCGGTCATCATCTAGTATCTGTGATGATCCAACCCACTTGATCCGCCCCCTTAGATAAAGCGGGGGCCGGGACTCGCTAGCGCCGCCGTCGCGCACGACAAGACACTCTGGTGGCCGTGCACACGCGGCACACCCTCTCCACCACCGCGCCGGACACACCACATTCACGCCACCATGTGTAACGTCTGCTGCCTGGCCTGCAAGTAAGAAACTTATGCGACTCGTTGGGACAAACCGCCCGCCCCTCTTCCTTTCGCCCAGCCTTTGCATGCTCTACTCTTGTGGACTTCCCTATAGCGAGGAGTGAAAAATAATGCTCCGCATAAAAGAAAGTTGTAGCGCGAGCGCAGCAGAAACGTGCGCGATAAACGATTCCCGTGGCGACGCCTTACAATGGAACAGCGCCTGCGACGCGGTGGGTAGGCCGTCCCGGCGAGCATCCGTGTGCAGACGGCGGCCCGCCCTAGCGCCTTGAGGCGGTCTTAATTCTATTCAAGATTTCCACAACTTTGGTGATGGGGGGGGGGGGCAAAGCTAGTTTACCCCCCCTCCCCCCCACCTTAATACAAAAAATAACATTTCTGAAAATAAATAGAACCGAAGTCCTATACCACGACTTTTCTACATCAATCTAAGGCATTAAGCTCTGCTACAAAAAGTGGACCAGTCCTATCAGTCGCTTGCGTTTCCCATAAAGTAACTAAAGCTACTAGTACTTTGTGGTATTTTTTTTTAAACCGTGTGTATTTTGTGTTCTCTGTTCGCAGCTTGATCAAGTGGTTGCTAAGTATCGCAGTTTTGGTCTTGATTGTCCTCGCCTTTGTGGCGGGGGGGTACATTCTTGGACCACTCGTGGCAAAAGAAACGAAAGGTATGTCGGGTATGTTGTGGAAGTTACGGCTTGAGATTGCGGCCTTCCCCGCATTTGAACGATTTGAACTAAGCGCCGGATGTCCTTATCGGCGCCGGATGTCCTTATCGGAGGGCTCGTTCGAAAACTCTTCGTCCTATCTCTGTCTCACCCTTGAGTCTCACTTACGGGGTGTCAGTGTGTTGTTTAGTAGGTGAAGAGTTTTCGGATGAGGCCGGAAATGGTTGCAGCCGGCAAAGATAGTCTTAAGATAGTCAACAAAACATAGGATTAGGTTAGGACTCGGTTAGCAACAGGTACTTTGTCCGAATATTCCGTTGTGACATCCCCCCCTTATCTGTATGTGTGATCCAGAACGACAGTGATTCCTTTTGGACGTCATTGAGAAACTCGGCCTTTTCCAGGATGGCAGGTACGATGCGAGGTTTCTTTCTTCCATTTCTATCTCTCAGTATGTCTCTTTTTTTTCCGCCCAGCAAGTGTTCTTTTCACAGATGGCTGTACCTCTATTCCTCCTCCATAGCGGGAGAGGATAGGGTAGTAGTCCCGGAGTGAACTTCTCTGCTCTTATATTGTACTTTTTGTAAATGCCATAACATACGTTAATACACACAATTTTTTTTATATGTATAAACCATAATAGGCCCACCAACCGTCTATGAGTACTACACTGATGGGGGAGTATCAGAGGGGCTGAAAGCCGAAAAGAGGGACTTTACCTTGAACAAAAAAGTAATCTCCCTTCACAGTGGTTCCATTCATTATTTCCGAGTGCACCCACAGTACTGGAGAGACCGCCTTCGAAAACTCAGAGCAGCAGGATTTGTAGCTGTTGAAACGTAAATACCTCTAATAACCCTAAAACAGGTTTACTTCAGCTTTTCTCAGTCTTAATTATTTAATTAAGTTCTCTGACATATTTTTAAAAATAGTTACGTACCATGGAACCTTCATGAGCCATATGATGGTGTATTCGATTTTGGTGATGGTGGTGAGGATATGTCACCCTTTCTCGATATCCGCACTTTCCTTAGAATTGCCAAGGAAGAGGATCTGCTAGCAATTCTGCGTCCAGGACCTTACATTTGTGCTGAATGGGAATTTGGTGGTTTACCAAGGTAAGTAGGCAACTGCTCCATTCCTCTTGGCCATTTGGCATTTCAAAACTTAATTCCACAAGGTGCTTTTGTCAGCTGGCTCCTCAAAGACCCTACTATAAAAGTTCGGACAAATGATGCAAAATACATGGCAAAAGTGGAGAGGTACTTCAATCGACTTCTTCCCATCCTGAAAAATTATCAGTTTTCTACTGGTGAAGGCCCAATTATTGCATTCCAGGTAAGAGTTTTTACATTGTACTGCCCTTTGATCTTCTTTTCTGAATTTTGACATATTTTAAACATTGCAGGTTGAAAATGAGTATGGAAATACAAAGGAAGTTGACAAAGAGACAGATATTGCACACTTAGTAGCACTTAAAGGAATGTTTGAAAAAGCTGGTCTTCAAGAGTTGTATTTCACCTCTGATACTCCCTCTAAGGGAAAAGAATATGGAGCAATACGCGGAGGTGAGCCAGCTACATTTTTGTGAAAACTACCTTCTTTACTGGAAAATAACGTCATTTACGTTTTTTGTTAGTGCTTGAGGTGGCGAACTTTAATGTGAATGCTTCAGTTGAGCTGGATATACTCAAAACATTTCAGCCAGACAAGGCAGCTATGGTGATGGAGTTCTGGACTGGTTGGTTTGATCACTGGGGTGAATCTCACCATGGAATGTCTTTGCAGGGTAAGTACAGATTCAGAATCTAATTAGTTTGCAGTTTGAGGAAACATCAACTACATACAAAGTGTTATCATGCTAACTTGTGAACCCCTTTTCAGACTTTAAAACTGTGCTGGAAGATATCCTTAAATATCCATCAGGAGTGAACTTTTATATGTTTCATGGAGGAACCACCTTCGGGTTTATGAACGGTGGTAATGTGTACAAGTCTTTTCCTTATTTTCTTCCAGACATTTCATCATATGGTAGGTTCTGACCATGAATAAGTTCTTTCAACCCTCCTTTACCTTCTCATTTTTTAAAAATTCTTTTTTAACTTTATATTAAATTTTCAGACTATGATGCACCATTAACAGAGGCAGGTGATTACACAGAAAAGTATGATGCAACTTGCGAGCTTCTGGAAAAGTATCAGAAAGTAGCTCTAAAAAAAGTTGACCGTCCTTCAGAAACAAAAAAAGTTGCACACCCACCTTTAAGTTCACCACATTTCATTGATTGGAACACCTTACTGATGCAAGTTGTAAGTTGTTGAACACCCAAAGGAGCTAGTAGTGTTGTTTCCCCTCTAACTTTGGATTGGGATTACAGAATAAACAAGATATTGAGATCTTGCAACAACCAGTGTACATGGAGCAGCTCAAAGTTAATCAGGGAAGTGGACAAAATTATGGTTACATTGTCTACAGGAAACAGAATCAGCCTTTAAACCCTGGTTCTACCCTCAAGATCACAGGGACTATAAAGGGATCCGCAATTGTAGTTGTTGACAATACTTTAAAATCACATCCTCTTAATTCTATTCAAGATTTCCACAACTTTGGTTATTGGTGCACAGAGTGAGTTTTTAGGATCAGCTGATCATACCTGTACCTTGTTATACAGATAAATTAATGAGTTTACTTAATATTGTTTTTATATCTTAAAATATTTTAGGCCTGCTAACAATACTTTGGATCTTCAAGTTCAACAATCTTCAACAAGCACTGTAGATGTTATCATTGAAAATTGGAGCAGGAATAATTATGGAAAGCTGTCTACAGATTTTAACCAATGTAGAGGACTTGAAGCTAGTCAAATAAATATAGATGGCCAAACTGTTGAAGATTTTATAATCTATGCTTTGCAGTTCAAAGGAGAATGGGTGAATAGGTAAGCCCCTTTAACTATCTAGGTAATACTGAAACTTGTCAGTAAACAGTTGCCTTGCCTTCTTCATTTAAATATGGTTTAATCAGCCTTTCAGGTTGGTCACCAACCACAAATATTTTGGAGGGACCTGTGTTTCTCAAATTCACACTTGAAATTGATGAACCAGTAGATACCTTCCTTGACATGAGAGGTTGGGGCAAAGGAATAGTTTTCATTAATGGATTTAATATAGGACGGTACTCTTCAATTGGACCAATCCGCACTCTCTTTGCTCCAGCTCCCCTATTTGTTAAAGGGCCAAATCAGGTAAAGTTTTACATAGCCAACCTTCCTTTGAGCACAAGTAATAATTGAGATACATCATAGAAACTTACTCTTTTTTTTTTCTTACAGATATGTGTATTTGAACATTTTAAATCCTCTGCACAATTAAAGTTTTCAGATAACTTGATTTTTGAGAATGCGGCAGAGACTTTTAATGTTGACTTGTAACTCAGCTTAACTTTGTAACATATTTTTATAATTAGAAATATTAAATAAATTTGAATTCTTAATTACGGTCATTTGTATAAATATATTTCTACAATGTCACTGAATATTATCACAGCATGATCACAGACCCCTTCATTCTTCCAATCTGAAGTAGACTACCAAGTAGGGCTGATGCGGAAAGAATAAGGCAAAGAGAAAGTGTGATATGAATACACTTTCCAGTCTCAATGGAAGATAGCAAAGCGTTTCATTGATAACTTAAATGAATGTGCTGACTTTTATCCAGTAGAAAGGTGGTCCTACCGTAGCTCCCATAAGCTCACTTCCCTACACTTCACTTCCGCTCCTCTGCGTAAGCGCTGCAGAAGAGTTATGTGTAGTGGAATGAAATGAGCTGACAGAAAACTGACGGTAGCTATTGTGGGTCCACCTAAAAACAGGAAATTACCAGAAACAAACCTCAAGTAAAACAACTTAGTCTGACTTCTTAAAGAATTTCAAATAAACAAGAGCTGCAAGTATAGCAGCCTCCATAAGAATGATAAGAATCAAAATCAACTTGTTAGATACAACTGCACAAGCCATTTTTCGCATAATGGCATCAGCTCTGTTAAGTTCTGCATCAGTGTCTGCTACTCTCTGACGAGCTCGCAAGAGTGTTTCACGTTGTTGGCCAAGTTTGCCAACAACTTCCGTTCTGAAAAGAAAATTGTTGTGTATGTAAATATAAGTTAAAATGCATTGGTATTGTAAAAATGAAAATAAATTGCTTACCCGATTTGTTCAGTTTCCACAGCAATTTGAGTAGACCGTGCAATGCTCTGTGAAGCTCTTGCAAGAGTTCCTTGAGTATTTCTGATAGTTGTCTCGTGCTCTGAATCCCAGTTTATGCTTCCCGACCAAGCCATGTTGAACTAGAGTTTTCGACAGAGTGGTCCTAATATGTTCTCTAACATGAATAAATAGACCATAAGGCTGAGTTTTGGACGCAAGATTAAACTAAACTAAGGCTGAGCAGTAGATAATGACATCAATGAATCATAACTACAAAAACTACTTACTGACAGCAGTCTTCTAAGCAGATAAGTTTTCAATGACAACAACAAAAACGCTAGTTTTTGAAGAAGTAGTAGAAACAATAAATAACAACAGTGATTGTTATTAAAAAGGTAAATAAAGTACGAACAGGCCCGAACCAAGAACAATAGAGTGGGGAGGACTGCCGGATCTCGATCCAACATGGCACCCAAGCGCTACACCCCCTCAGCCCGCGGGTTGCCTAGATGGCAGGATAGAGGGGTCACTTTGTCGGCGCGCAGTGCATTCTTATGGGAAAACGGCCGACTTTGAGGATCGCTCCTGAGTTATTTTGGAGGTGCAGGAGGGTCGAAGTGTTTCTAAATGGTCTTAAATACACAGAAGACCTACTCTGAGTCGAAAAATAATGTCAGAGTGGACTCGTTAATATAAATATATCGAAAAATACAGAAGTTGGCCGGAGTGTTGGAATTTGCTGATTTTGCGGCGATGGTGTAAAGGCAAATGGAAAGCTATCGGCTTGATCGAGGGTTTATCTGAAAGTACGTTTCAATGCCTTTAAATTGACCCTATTGCCGTATTTTTCGGATAGCTCATTTTTGAACAGCAGCCGATTTAAAAAGGGCCGAAATGTACGAAATCAACCTTTTCTTAAATCGACTCGTACAAAGGTATTACTCAACGCAAATATATAAAATTGGTATCAAAAGAAAGGCAATCAATCCTACTTTCAGGGCCTTATTCGTAAAATACCGTATCTTAACATACTTTTCGTCACCAATCATAGTTTTAAGTCATGCGCTACACTAGTTTTGGCGCGTACCCCTGCGTAGCCGCGCCGGCGCGGTTTTGCAGAGCACTTATTTTCGACGCTGGTGAAGAAATGTATGACAAGGTATGGTATTTAACGAATGAGGCCCTGAAAGTAGGATTGATTGCCTTTCTTTTGATACCAATTTTATATATTTGCGTTGAGTAATACCTTTGTACAAGTCGATTTAAGAAAAGGTTGATTTCGTACATTTTGGCGCTTTTTAAATCGGCTGCTGTTCAAAAATGAGCTATCCGAAAAATACGGCAATGGGTTCAATTTAAAGGCATTGAAACGTACTTTCAGATAAACCCTCGATAAAGCCGATAGCTTTCCATTTGCCTCTACACCATCGCCTCAAAATCAGCAAATTCCAACACTCCGGCCAACTTTTGTATTTTTCGATATATTTATATTAACGAGTCTACTCTGACATTATTTTTCGACTCAGAGTAGGTCTTCTGTGTATTTAAGACCATTTAGAAACACTTCGACCCTCCTGCACCTCCAAAATAACTCAGGAGCGATCCTCAAAGTCGGCCGTTTTCCCATAAGAATGCACTGCGCGCCGGCAAAGTAACCCCTCTATCCTGCGATCTAGGCAACCCGCGGGCTGAGGGGGTGTAGCGCTTGGGTGCCATCGGCGGGCCGCCGGGAGGTGGGATTCGGCAGTCCTCCCCACTCTATTGTTCTTGCCCGAACGCAGAAGGGAGATGTGAAACCTATGAGAAACTGTACGGCGATGTTTATGCGAAATTGCCAAGAAAGCTAAAATAACGCCTTTTCGAAACATTGACCACTCTTTGACCTCCGCAGTGGGACAAGAGGTGCTGTCTGCTGCCCGTGCCCGTGCTACTCCTCTGTTACGGCTTTGAAGGTCTTCAGTTCCATTTATCAGGTAATCCTTAACTCCTGCAGAAAATATTGTCTGCCGGCAAGTTTCTTTTCTCTGCGCAGTGTACATTTTGAAATTGTGAGGGTTGTTCTCGCTCTCCAAGTGAGTTGGTTGCTCATGTCGGGAGACGGGACACAACTTTGCGTTTGGAGTCGTGATTGATTTTCTTTTCATCGTCAGTATTGATTATTCACGATCCTGTTTTCAAGTAAATCCTCTCGATGTCCCTTTTATAGATTCGCTTCATTCGTCTTGTTACTTCAGTTGTATAATCCAATTCACTTGTCAAGGCTCCTAACCTTAAATTATTTTGTCAATGTTCTGAACTCATGAATGTACTAAGATTCGCCATTACAGTCTTGATTATTGACTTGGCCTTTCATTCGTCTTGTCAGTATTCTAAATAGGTTTGTTTATTAATATTTTTTAGGTAAAATGTCGACCCCAAAGCTCCCAGAGAGGCCCATGGAGTATCCATACACCCATACTGCAAGACTAATGGCGTTTCCATGGAAAATGCATTTGAAGCACGCCAACTGGAGGTGGAGGTGGGGTCTTATTGGATATGCCGCAACTCTTCCATTCTTCATCTGGATGTCATCTGCCTGTAAGCCACATTTTCTCGAGCTTGTTGTAAAAACCCAAGACTGAAGTAACTAAAGATGTGTTTCTATTAACAGTGAACGGGCCTGGCAACCAACAGAAGCTTCGTGAAGTGAGGGCAAAGATTGCTAAGGAGCACGAAGAACACTTGAAGCATCTGCTTTAATTTCAACTGTTATTTCCCATAATTGTTTTTCCATATATTAAAATTTGTAGTACATGTAAAATTTCAGGCAGTATCCTCAGAATGAATCTGAATTATAAAACATCAGGTAATCTTACAATGATCTTTATTGCCAACCCTAGATAATACAGCGTACAAGTAATATTAACAAAACAAATATTTAGAGAAAGTGTTGAATGACAGTTCAAAAGCTGCCTACTAAAGGGCAAAAGGTTCAAGGTACAAAGCTTCTTTCATTTTCAAACAATCATTCCACTGTTGAAGCACTATCACAGTCACATTGAGGTGTCACTTCACACCACACTTCTGTAACAATTACAAAACTTACTCAGGCCTTGGGAATGGTTTCAAGGTAACTTAATTTCCCATTGTCTGGATCAGTTCAAGAATATAACTTCCCAACTCTTCATCTTGATTAGTCCATGAGACATAAACAGTTTTAGTCTCATCATCTGCACCTTCAACCTTTACAAGCACTGATTCAATAGAAATATTTCCTTCTTGATATACAACATTCCAGCCTTTAAGCTTCTCCTGGACATGAAGCAGCAGCTTGTCAGTTGTTCTTCCAGCTGGCCCAAAATCTTCCAGTCTCACAGTTGATGTGAAACGCACCATGTGTCTGCTAATGTCTGCCTCTTTACAAGCCTCATCTACATCCATTAAACAAGTAGACTTATCCTTCATGACCAGAACACCATGAATAATGCGAGGTCTTTTGGGGTCAGGAGGCAGGGCATTGTATTTCACTGACTCGGCTTTCAAAAGTGGAAGAGAAACATCTATAGGAATTCTGTGCGGTGTTTGGATGACACATGTTTCACCATTAGCTGGCATAAAACAGTCCAAATTAAATTCTTGCTTAATCTTCTCCTTCAAAAACTCCATTTTTGCAGCTTCTCCATGAACCAACAAAACATTGCGAGGTTCACAGTACTGTATCAGCTGCATAATTCCCTTTGCATCAGCATGAGCAGAGAAAGACATATACTGCACTGACATTTTAACTTCCACAACTTGTCGGTTCTCTATCTCTACCTTTTTAGCACCATTTAAGATTTTGTGACCCACAGTTCCTTGTACACAAAATCCAGGCATTATCACCATGTTGTTTTCATTTGGGGCCCATTTCTTAAAAATCTGCAGAGAGAGTCCAGCATGTAACATGCCAGGAGTAGCAAAAACAACCATAGCACCAGGATTATCGATAAAAGTCTTGTCAAAAGGTTTGATATGCTTGAAGTCAAACATATTCCGCTGTACAAATGTTTTTCTTATCTTTTGATTTGTCCATGTAATGAACATCTTATAGTAATTGTTAGCCTTTTCAGTTAGACCTACAGCAAAATATATGGGAACTTTCAGATTCATTCTTTCCCAGTAAGTCTCTAATAGGATACACAATTCTTGAGCTCGCCCAAGAGCAAATACTGGAATTAGGACCTTTCCTCCTCTCTCCACACATTCATGAACTTTCTTGAGGAAGTCTCGTTCTCTGCATCGCTTGGAATCTCTGATAGTGGTTGCATAGGTAGATTCGGTTATTAGGACATCTGGGCGACACTTGTCAATCCATGCAGCTCCCAAGTGACGATCAGGAGTCATGTTGTAATCTCCTGTATAAACTACAGACTGATTGCCGACTCTAATCCAAAACATAGCAGCACCTAATACATGTCCAGCATAGTAGGCTTTTATTTCCAAGTCACTGTCAACCATAACTGACTGATGCAACGTAACAGCAATAACTTTCTTCATACAGTCTTTTATCATTTGTGAGGTAAAAAAGTTGCTCTCCCCTTTCCGTTCAACAGATACTTTCCTCATGTCCTCAAGCAAAATCGGAGCTATAGCTTTCGTTGGGTGAGTCATGTAGATTGGTCCGTTGTAGCCGACCATTTCTGTCAAATAAGGAAGTGCTCCACAATGATCAAGATGAAAATGGGAGATTATTATTGCATCAATGTACCCCGTGATAGGACCTTCTTGAGCAATGAATGAGAAGTCAGGAAATCTGCGTTCATCTTGATAACCCATGTGCATTCCACAATCCAGCATTATCTTCTTCCCTCCGATGTTGAGTAAGATGCAACTTCTTCCTACATCTTGCCCAGCGCCCAGCGGGATTATCTTGATCTCCGGCATCTTGTGTTTGAATGGTCAAAGCGATCGGACGGTAATGCAAAGGCAACTCGAGTGTCATAAAGAGTTCGGCATCCCCGCTTAAAGAGGTGCGAGGAGCTTCACACCACTTCACAAGTGAATCCACACAACAGAAAGGACCGTAGTTAGGCAGATAATTGTGCCACCAGCGGACAACAACAGTACCGACAGTATTGTCCAATAAGGAAAGCCGAATCCTCAACGCGCACTGATCAACCTAACCTATGTCTCCGTCTCAACTCAAACACAAAACAAAACACAAGTTGAGATGTCGTCTGTCACGACCATGATCTGACCACAACAACAAAAAGCTTGTGGAACGCACAGTTGTTTACGGTTCGGGTTCGGATTCGGGCGAGGAGAATGAGTTTGTGATTGTGAGGCCGGGGTGAGACGGCGATTGATGGACTTCTGTGATGTGTGATGAGTTGCGGTATTCGTTTTGATGGTGACACTAGATAGAAGTGATTCTTTTAACGTGAAAACCTTGACTGTCTTGACTGATCACGATGGCGGATTGTCCGCCTGCTGATGAAATGGACTCTTTCTGGTACCAGAAAGAAAAAAAATTAGACAGACTTCTGCCATACTTTGATTCTGACAAGTTCAACGACGAATCTCAAGCAATATTTGACCAAATTAAAGTGAATTTGGGTAAAGCCATTGTCTATGGCGGTGCAGCAACCAGTTATTGGGCGGGACGCCTTAACAAGTAAGTTATAATTTATTATGTTCATTGTTTGAAACCTGTAGAATGTGTTAAAAGTCATTTTTGACAGATACTTTCAGAACAGTTTGTTTCACCCTGTGCATGTTTTTCTGGTAATGATTACCATCTTCTAGGTGAATGACTCTATACTATTTTATTTTTCAATCTAAATCCTTCAAGGCACATTCTATTTGTGAATTGGCACAGTTCCCACACAGTTGTGTTATTTTTGCAGGCGAGGATTCCCCTGTACAACAACAGGACAATCACCCCAGCAATCAGACTTCTGTCTGCTTTAATGAATATAGCGTATACCTCTTTTTATTTATTTCAGGTTCACAAGTGTTTATGGGTTGCGCATTTCCAAGAAAGATCATGCTGCATTGGTCAAGCTACTCTTTGACACAATTGTTATGCCTGGAACCGAGGAAGCTCTTGCCTCAGAGCTCATTATGACACTTCTCACACTGATCAAGTAATTCTAGTTCAGATTCAGATGGTCCTGTGCCCGTGCAAATATTCGCTCTTTAATTTTTATTTGTCATCACTTTTCAGGCATGAAGAACTCCTATCTCCTCAGGATGTTCAATTGCCCTGGCAACCTTTGTATGAGTTTTATAGGCGTATTGTTAAGCAGCCTGTTCGCTTCTTCCCCAGGTAAGTTGCACTACACTATGGAGGGTAAGGAATTCTCTGATCTATTGAAAATATACCCGATGTATGCTGGAACCTAAAGGGAATTGGACTTAATGGAAAATGTGAGTGGATCCTTTCTATGTTTTCTTGTGTTACAGAGAGTTCTTGGAAGTACTGCACACATTTATCAAAAGTGTTAACAAGTGAGTGATATACTAGTGGCATTCTGTGCTATCTTTCATGCCTACAATCATTATTCTACATAATGCCAGGGAAAAAATAAGTTTTGATTTAATTATTCTAACTACACCTTCATTCCAGATTTTTCCCTGTGGAGTCCACTGCTCAAATTCTGGATACTATTATGCCTCTTATATCGCCCCTTGACAAGAAGAGTTTGTCCACCCACTTAAATGAGTTGTGTCTGTTCTTGCCAACCATGCCTCATCATGCAGAGAAGGGACAGGGCTACCTACTGTGGATGAATGACTTGCTTTCAATGTGGGACTCTTGTAATAACTCAGCCACTGTGAATCATGTAATCATGCTAGAAGCTTTCTATCTATTAATTAATCTTCTCATTTAAAAAAAAACTCAAACTTTTTGACTGTACTAAAATTAATAATTTTTCAGAACTTAATGGCGCTTATGGCAAGACTAGCCAAACGCAATGTAGGCCGTGTTGACTGGGAACCGCATGTGGCCGTTATGTTTACTCGCATCATGAGAAGTCTCAAACTTCCTGTTCTGTACAAGTCTGCTGTTGTACCTCGGTCCCCATATTCTGAAAGCCTTGACATTCAGCATTCCTCACTTTGGATTATTGCTTGTTTGGTTAGTTAAAACCTATTTTGTTTCCTTCCAAATTTTGCCTTAGAGCATGTACCTATTAAGTTTTCTTTTGTTTCTTTTTCCTGTTGTCTGATTAGGGTGGTGGAAGCTCTGCTCAGAAGCATCTCACTGATATGCTGAGAGCTGTAGAGTCCTACTTCAATCCTGCAAACACTGGGAGTTGGGTGGCTGCTAATAAACTTAGGAATGTTGTATTTTCTTTACCTGACGCTTTTGTCAAACGACTTTTCTAGTAAGTTTAAAAGTGTGTTGTATATTTTGATTGATTTTGAACAGATTAACAGAAATGTTAAATTTATGTCTGTAAACCCTCTACAGTGAACGAAAAAAAGAACTCAAATGGCTGACGCCTATTCCGAAGGAAAAATGTCTGACTGAAGATGATATAACTGCCTTTGTTGAGTCCATGTGCCCAATTGTGAACCAAGTTCTTATTGGACATATTGCATCCCTAACGAGTGCATTTCAAAGGGTTCTCTTTTGTTTGGCTTGGTTGCGTCCTGCAATTATCATCCCCCCTATTATAGAGAGGTAGTTTAATCTGTTTATAACATATTAGATGATTGAAGACTCTGCAACACTGTTTTGTGAGATAAATGCTGTCATATTGTACATTTAATTTCAGATTGATGACTGCAATTACAAGTGAGACAGAGCCTCTACGAGTTTCTGCGGCTCTGGCGAGTTTAAGTGCTGTCATGCGACCAATGATTGAAGGTGCTCGCCTAGGGTATCCAGAAGGTCCCTTGCAGGTCACAAATCTGTTGACCACTATTATACCTATGGTTGACTTTAATGACCCAATGAAAGCACGATGCACAATTTTAATTCTGGAGAGACTTTTGAAGTTTGTGCCACTAATTGATTCTTCCAAAGAAATTGGGTTGCACCCTAATATGACACAGGTAATGCCCCTTTTTTGCCTCCTATGTAATTCCTACAAAATTCAAGTTTTACACTCATACTCATTTTGTATGTCTTTAGGAAGAGGAAGAACTGTGCCGTTCAACTGCAGAATTTAAAGACTGTCTTATGTTGATGGTAGACCGTGTTCTGTCACTGGTTCATTTTTCTTCATCATCAACACTTGTTTCTTTTGATATAAGGGTGCAGACTATGACAGTGTCGGTGTTTCGTCTGACCCTTGTTCAAACACCTCCCGAATTTTTCAAAGTATGCTTTTTTTTTCTGTTTTGCCCTTAGTAAAAATTCTGTTATTGTAATTGCAGATATTTTCATGCAAATTTTATTTTATTTTCATTGCAGGCTGCCCTCAACAAGCTGCATCATTTTGTGACTGATAATATATCCCCTGGACCAATGCTTAGTCCCATAGTTGAGGCTTTTGTGCATGTAAATGCTGAAGAGACATGGAAAATTTTGTTGCCATCAGTTACTGAAGCAATTTTGAATATTACTGAAACAGAGAACATTAAATCTGAACAAACATTAAGTAGTGAACTAATGCACCATCTGGGATTACTAAAAGATGTATGCTTTCTAGTCTTGATCATCTATATATTTTTTTATTTTTTTTTTCAAAAAAAAAATAGTTAAGTGAATTTTTTTGCATTTTATGTTATTCTTTGCAGTTGTTAGCCATGGGGCCTCTGAACAAACTGATTCCTTATATGCCAGTTTTAAACAAAGTACTTGAAGCCACTCTTCATTTGGAAAACCTTGAAGGCCACACACTAGCTGTTCAAATTTGGGAACGAATCATAACTTTGGCCAATAAAATGGTCATTTCTAATTTCCGGAGCTCTGAGGCACCTTATGACTCCCCACCAGGAGCTCATCTTCACATTCGAGTGAGTGGGGGAGAGTATTACTCTTAGTTCTATAATTTTAAATTTCACAAATTTATTTTCATATTGTATTTGTTTTTATCAGGAGTGGGGCAAGTCAGTCCCTGTCAAAATGATAAAAGCAGAGTGGATTATTCCAGATGAAGAAGCTATTTCCTGTATCCAAAAGTTAATCAACAAGTTCTTGCCTGCTGAAATCCAAACCATTAATAATTTTATCATGGACAGTGACAAAGTGACAAAGTATACTTCTTTTCACCAAAATCTTTTTGCATCCTTGATCTAATCCTTTCAATTAACTTCATTTATAATTGATTTTTGTTTTGTTTTTGTGAATATTTAGGGAAAATCTCCAACAAGCCCTCCGCATAACAAAGTCTGTGCTGGAATGTCAGCTCCTTTTGCCATTCTGGAATGAGTCACCTCTACAATTTGATGAATCCTTTGTTGCTGACCTGAAGGGTTTTAGAGTCGAAACTGGTTTAAAAGGAGAGATTACAATGATTGATGGTTCTAATATGCGCCACTCTTTGATAGCTCTCATGGAACGTTTGCAGGAAAAATTACTCATTAATTCTGAAGATGATACTACATCCTGTTGTGTCTTGATTGAGGTATGTTAGAGTCTTAATCAGCTTTCGCAAAGATCATAATTTGCTTTATTCCTTTATGTTGCCTGTTTTCCTAAAAATAATTACTTTGCTTGGTCTTTGTGCAGATTTGGAGGAAACTTCTTTTTCTTTCAGTCAAGCAAGAGCGAACTTACCGATCCATGGCCCATTGGGAAAGAGATCCTATGTCACTTCCCAATCTTCCACGCTTAACTCTACTTTATGGAGCCAATGAGCATGCTATTAAGCGTTGTGCTTTCTTTGCCACACCTCTTACCTCAACACACACTCGAGGATTGCTATGCATACTGAAACTTGCCACAAGTCATTACAGCAAGGTAAATCTCCTTGTGGGTTAATACAATTTTAACTAGTGATTGTCATTAATGAAATCTACTTTGAACATAAAGGTAAGAGTTTGGGCGCAACACTTATTAGATGAATTTGAAGATCACTATAATGGAGCCCTTGTGCAAAACTTACTGCAACCGTATCTTTTGTCCAACTTGAAAGTTGACAGCGTGGAGCAGCATGAACTTTTTAAGGTATTTGTTGCTGTACCTATTGCTATTTTTGTTTTGTTTTGTTACAAATTTTTATTGATTACATGTATTGTTTTCATGTATTGTTTTGTTCTTGTGGGTTTTTTCTTTTTAGGGTACTCTGTATGTTATGACTGGGCTAAGCTGCCTTTACAATTGGAAGATGTCAAGTGAACTGTGGGTAGCTTTGGTTAATTCCAAGCCAACTGAAAAACTCTCTGTGATCAGAAAAATTGGAGATATAACAAAAGCAATGCTTTCTGGCCAGACTGAAAATGTTCAGCGAGAGGTACATTACTTTAATAGCAAATTCCATCATTATCCTTTCTGTAATACTTTTCATTTGTCGTGATGAGCATTTTTTTAATTACCTTTTTCCAAAGGTGTCAGACCAGGTGCAGGAGTCTATTTTGATGTTATGTTGTGTAGGCTACAAAACAAAACAGCCATTAATTGACCGTAGCTACCTAGTGTCAATCATCCAGGAACAAACTAAATCCAATGTAAAGCGCCTTCAAAAGTGGCATGATTTGCAAATGCAGTTAGTTAGTGCCACAGAATCTGGTACATTGTAAGTACTGCAGGAAAATTTTAATATGTTCAGCGTAACTACTATGACTTGATGGCTGTCACAATAATATGGCCTTGGCTAAGCCTTGGTGCACTGGTTGTGTTTTTATGATTTTATATTGTACTTTTACATTTTCTTTCCAATCTTCATTTCTATTTCCCTTTCTTCAGGCATTGGAGACATTCATATTTAGCCATAGGATGTTTGAGGAGACTCATTTACACCCTTAAAGAGAGAGCCTCAGCCACCGCTGTTAAATGCTTACTCCAGTGCTTAGTTAGTGACAACATTCATATTCGAAAGGTAGCTGATTTTTTCTTGTCTCTTAGTGATCATTAAAACAAAATCTTAAGTAATATTTTAACTGTTTGGATATGTAGGCTGCTCCACTTGGTTTAGCCATGATTTTACAACAACAAAAACAGGAGACAAAGTTTGTCACCTTGAAGTGCTCATCAGTATTTCCGCCCGATGGTCCAAAAGGGACAGGTGATAATAGAAAAAATGGTTCTTGGCTTCAGTACGACGTGAGTGTGTGTCCATCATCAAATAAAGATTGGGATGGATTAAATTTTATCCACAAAGAACATCTTGGTTACATCAAATGGCCAGAGTAAGTGTTTCAAATTTTACAGTGATAAAAATTTAGAAATCCTAATCTAAATTGTTACTTTTTGCTAACTATTCTTATTTTTTGGATATCTAGAGAAATTAAAGTTCCTAGTCCAAATACTAAGCAGCCACCATTTGATGATCCAGAACGAATTTTACCAGATGATGAGAAAGAAGTGGATGCCTTTTTTCAAAACGAAAAGAATGTTGCCTCTCTTGTGTCTTATATGGCATTAGAAAAGTCGACCTTTGATGACTGTTATGTGTTGTTTAGTAAACTCTTCCGTAATACGGGAGACAAGTATCTACCACTTTTCCAACCACACATTGAGAGTCTCTTGGATCAGAAACTGGAAACCCAACAGATGTTCCTCTTTGCACTTTTAGCAGGTGATTATGTATCTATGAAATAACCAACTTTTTATGTACACATATTCTTCTGTTTGTTTACGTTTTACTTTATTTTTCTAATACTAGGTATAATTCATGGAACTAAGCGCTGGTCATACGATAAGTTGGTGGCCCTTTGGGATTGGCTAGCTCCAGTTATTGTGGCAGCTCATGAGAATTTGTGTGTAGTGGATGATCGTACCCTCAGCCTGATTCCAAGCATGGTAATAAACCATACCATAATCTTTCTCGTTTCTTTTTCTTTTTATAATGTGGCTTCTTTAAAGCAAAAACTCTTTAAATCCGGTATTTGCAGCGGAAACGTGATCCATTTACTCAATATTGGTTAATAGAAATATTGATGGATGATCCATTGCGCGAAGATGCCTCTGTCCTTGGATGTCGGTTAGTACATTTCTTTAGTAAGCGTAAGTAACATTGATTGACACCATTATTAACATGCTGTTCCTCTTTTGTGTAGGAGACTTGATTTAATATCTAGTATCTTGTTAATGAAGAACTGGCGTGTCATATCTTTGGCACACCGTGCTTTAGATTATGTGAAACCCTATCTTTCGCACCACCTTAAGAATGTCCGAAACAGTGTGGGCAGGTGAGGATCTCATTATCATTGAAGTCTACAGTAGGTGTGAAGAAAATATTAGGAATGAGATGAGACTCCTAAAACATTTCTTTTCAGGCTTCTAGGTAAAGTTTTTCATACTGATTTTCAATTACCTGGTGCCAATCAAACTTTGGGACCACACATAGATGACTTCATAGCATCCGTCGTACCTCAATTGGAAGTTTTGAAATCTCTCAACATAACTGTAAATTCCAGCAATGCAGGTAGGATAAGAAGTTATTACCTAACTCCATAATCAGGTTTATGTTAATCACAATAGTTACAACGGATGTCTATATCTTTTTCATCATCCTCTGGATTTTTTCAGGGAAGAATAATAGTGTAGGCATAGATGACGTGACTGAACAGCTGGGGAGAGTTGAAGTCAGTAGTTCAGAACATGACAATGCATTACGACTCTTTGAAACAGGTAAAGTTTTCAATCAAAATAAAATCCTAAGATCAATTTTGTTGTTAAGATATTATTTCAAGGTAATGAGATTTCCAAGTTGAATGTTAAGGAATAATAAACTGAGTTGTTTGAATTTGTATGTTTTACAGTTTCTGTATGCATGCAACAAATGTTGAGGGACTCTCCTGCTGCTATGTACCCTTGTTTTTATCAACTACTTGAACCTAGCATTCTTCTGGAAAATGTGGCAAAGGACAAAGACCTTCGACAAATTTGTGAGAAAAATATAGCTCTCCTTGCCTCAGCTTTCACTAAACCTAGTTGTATTCCTGTTGTTCTGGAAGCAATTTATAAGGTAATGCTGCTCTTGTTTCTGCTTATGTCATCAAAATTATGTTTTATATTAACCTATGTACTATTTCTGAAGGTTGACAACCACCCATCATGGGCTATGAGAGTGTCATGTCTAGGCTTTCTTCAAGTTCTAGTTTTCCAAAACATGCCTATATTTGCCTCCCAGTCTGATTGGACAGAAAAGGTTTGTTTCCATAGCATGTGGCTTTTTCATTTGTGATTGATTTTTGTCTATTAGACAACAAGTCAGTGTCTTACGCTGTCCTTTTTTTCATCCCTATATAAGGTAATTGATTTAGTTGTTCTTCGTCTGGATGATTCTTGGCTGGAGGTTCAGCATAAAGCAGGTGAAGTACTAAGTGGAATGTTGCATTGTCACTTTATTCCACATCCTCTAAAACTGATGGTAAGTCAAAGGATCATTATTGACTAGTCCAAAGAAATATTATTATGTTTCTGACCATATTTTTTCATTACCTTGTAGGAAAGGTTTAAAGAAAAGGCCAATATTCGCTTGTCCCGTAAAGCACCAGATCCATCAAAACTACGTACCCGCCATGCTGGTATTATTGGTCTCTGTGCTTATGTTAGAGCTTTTCCGTATGATGTCCCTGATTTCGTCCCTGATGTGATTGGTATATTAGGTGACCACCTGAATGATCCTCACCCAATATCTGTGAGTTAAAATGAAATCTAGTAAATTTTTCATAGAACTATCAATCCTTTTTGTGAATTTTGTGTTTTCTCTGTGTTTTAATTTTATAGAAAACAATTCGTGACACACTCAGCAGTTTCCAACGGACTCACATTGGTCAATGGCATTTGCATAGACGCTGCTTCACAGAAGATCAATTGAATGCTTTAAGTAATATGGTGCTACCTCCATCCCATTATGTTTAGATAAAAATTACATCAATATAAGATAATTTTTTGTACTGATGTTCAAGCAGTTTTTAAAACATTTAACAGATTCGGAAGAACCAACACTTATGTTTTCTTAAGTTATATATGTTGTTTTAATTATATACATAAATTGGTGGTTAAGGTTGTTATGAATGATCACTATTTTATTGTTTGCATGTATGTTATCTCTTTCCCATGATAAAATTGATAATTTAAGGCCATGCCGTTTTAGTAAGAAAACCCAGTTACGGTGGCACCGCTTCTGTCATACATAATAACAAATTTCAGACACATTATCGATCATTGAAACAGAAGAACTTTAATTGCATTGAGACAGTTTATTTTACTAATATAATATACTAGATTAGCCACACAAACTATTGATAACCACAATGACGTATGGAGAATAAAATAACAAAATCAACATCGAAAGTTGTTAAAATAGAATCACAGAATACAGTTACCCATAAATCATATCTTTGTCTTGTAAAATATTCCTCACAAAATTTCAAAGGTAAAATGTACAATGAATGCAGCATGAACTGTGGTTCACAACCTAATAATCAATGAACTAAAGTTACAGGACAGAGGACAGATTGTGTATGAATTTGAGTATGTAAGAGTGGCTGACAGTCAATATTTCTGTAAAGCATTAACCAGTCCAAACAAAGTATGTACTAGTTGATATTGGTTAGTTTAATTTTCAATAGATTGTTTTTCATCAAAATCTAATGATTTAAATAACAACTCAAGCGTCCAGAAGACTTAGATGCACATTGATCAACAGAATAATAAACTGCTTACTGGTGCTATGTGCAAATGATATCAGGTAAAAAAAATAAAATGTACATTTAAAGTCTTATCATGTGTATTTACAGTTAAAGGTATAAGAAAATGTCAGCAATATTTCTGATAGCCTAATTCATAGTCCAGGATTGGAAGGTAAGGGTAGTCACCTCCAGAATGTCCTACTTCAGCTATAAATATAAAAACATAAGAATGTTCATTTTTACAAAGGTAATGGTAATGGTTCATGGGCTGCAGCACATGATAAAAACGCTCTATTGAAAGAAAAACTTTAGAAACTCACTAGTAAGTTACATATTTAAAATTTAATCACAACAATATAGCAAATGGCAAACTAAACAGCTGAATAGTCTATAACTTTTGTAGAATATTCAGTGACAACCAAAAGAGCAAATAACCACAGAAAGGGACGTCTCTTCTGAACAGTATAATTGTCTTCTATCTTGCTCACAGTATTTAAAATACTGACAAGATGACTACGCTATTTCTCTGGCAGTGACCATGATTGCAGTGTGACCACTTTGATTGTCACAATCAATTTCTCGAGATGCAACAGCACAAAGATTATTTCTAGTAACTTGGACATCTCCAGTGATTTCACGTGATAAGTCAACACAATTACGGTCAGAGGTTTCCCTAGCTTGTGAAGCAGTAATTCTTGTTGATCGACTGTTCTGAACATCACAGCTTTGAGTGCTCAAGCAGTTCAGGTCATTACGGTTTTCATACATATATGATGAAAACGTGCTTGTTGGAACATGAGTCTGTTTATGCTTTTCTAGTGATGATTCCAATGGGAAACCTCTGCCACACTGCATACAAGTGTAACGATTTTCCCCAGTATGTAATCGCTCATGCCGTCGGAAACTTGAGCCATCAGCAAAACAGCGATTACAAACAGTACAGGTAAAAGGTTTCTCTCCAGTATGGGTTCTTCGGTGTGTAAGTAAATGAGACTTTGTTATGAACATTTTATCACAGGACTCACACTTGTAAGGCCTTTCTCCTGTATGAATTCTTTTATGAGCAACAAAAGTTGAGCTTGTTGAAAAAGTTTTTTCACACACATTGCAAACATATGGTCTCTCACCTGGAAAACAAACAAGCAGTTTGGTAATCATAGCAATGTAAACCACAAGGGTAAACAATTTTCTAAATTTACTTACCAGTATGTATGCGAATGTGCTTTTTCAAACCACAGGAATCAACAAAGCCACTACCGCATTCATCACATTTGTAGCGCTTAATAATAGCCCCATTGGGACCATGAGTACGTTCATGCTTCACAAAAGCAGATCTATCAGCAAAGCATCGCTGACATAATTGACATTGAAAAGGGCGTTCTCCTGTATGAGTGCGTCGATGCGTTACCAGGTGTGAGTTGGTAGCAAATGCTTTGTGACATGTTTCACATTCATAAGGCCTTTCACCTCGATGGTATCGGTCATGATTTACAAGAGCCTGTTGCGAAGAGTATGTCCTTCCTGCAAACACAGATATATTAGGTGATGACACCCTGATGTATTAACATGAAGATTATTTCAGAACTGAGCTGATCAAACTACAGAGAGAAAATTTTAAAAAATACAATAACTATTGGTTTGTTTAACCTACAAAATCCCTTTTGAAAAGAACTACACAGCCTGCTCATGCAATAATCCTAAGGAAATATGGGAACTTGCTATGAAAATTGCAAATTATCATTAATGTGCAAATGAGTCTCAGACCAAACATAGATACTAAAATAAAAAATAAAAATAATAAGGTGGAAACACTTTAAAAGTTGGACATGTGTAATTGATCTAAAGTAGCCTTAATAGTTAAAATACAAAGCGAGTGAGTGAGCAATAACCAAGCGAGGCACTCACCGCAAATATCACAGCGATATGGTCTGTCACTTTCCAAAAAAGGAAAGTCAGAAGAACCGCTTAAAATTTCATTGGAATTATTCCTGCGGCTTGTAGATGTATCACTGTCATGCTGGGATGAACCCCCCCGAGCCCCAGATGCTGTAGAAACCCCACCATGTCGGTCACCCACAGGATGTTGATGTGCAAAGGCTGATTGTTCCCCAAAATCTGAGCCATTAGAGCCCAAACGACCCGAATCCATGCTTGATGCCTCCTCACTATCCTCACCATCGGCATCAGTGAAGACTCTGTGCTTTGTTTCCTCTGGTTCAGGTACTTCAGAGGTAGAAGTATCAGCTATAATGATTTTAGTGTCCGGCAATAGTGGACCATCCTGAATCTGAGACATTGTGAGTACTGTTTGACATCCACGGGACACAAGATGATTTTCACCAGGTTTTGGAGATTCAGATATGCTTCTAGAATCTGAGGAGCTATCTCTTATAACCTCATCCACAGATCTGAAATTTTAAAATTTAAATTTCAAAAATTAAAATTTGTCTTAGTACAGGACAGTGATAAGAGAAAAGTCAAATTTTATCAAATAGGTGTCTCTCTATACCTGCTGTTCCTTCCACCATCCTCACTGTTGCTAGCTTGGATTTGATGAGGACTAGGAGGATGAAGTCCTCTAGAAGGATCAAAAAGGAATATGCCTGCTGTTGACACACCTCGCTGAGGGTTCAGTACATAGCTGATGAAAGCATTGTTATCCCCAGTTTCACTAGTTGAGACAGTTGAAACTGTTGGAGGATCAGTCCGACAGCTAACTGCTGATGCTGCACTTTGATTTTCCTGGTTTTGTTTCACAATACGAGTCCTTGGAAAACAAATATGTGAGTTGCAGTGCTCAAAGAATTGAGAAATGACAAATGGCACATTAAGCAGGTCCTTACCCTTCTTCACTCTGAGGTATTGCGGTTAAAAGTGATGCATCGTTCGGTAGATATGGCAGCTGATGGGGATGAAAATGTTGACTGCCTTGGTCAACATATGAATGTGACAGCCAGGCTATATCAGTTGAACGTGAATGAGAGTGTGGGAAAGAATGTGATGGTGGTGGCGGTCTACCAGCAGCCTGTGATACATGTGACACTTCAGCATCAGAAGAATGAGAAATCTGAGAAGATTGTGGTGTTGCTTGAGTAGATTGTGATTGACTGCCTGACTGAGTCTGTTGCATCATGGGAGACGCCAGCTGGATCTGATAAATTACTTGTTGTGGGGAAGATGATGCTGTACAAAGTTGTTTAGAGGAGCTGGAGCTAGCATTGACCTGGAGAAGAGAAAAATAATGTGTACAAAGAGTGTCTACAGATGTGTTAACAAAAAAAAGGACAAAACTTACAGCAGACTGATCTTTACAAGTGACAGGAGCAGTCACAAAACCAGTCGGAGGTGTATCTTCGGAGGCAATAGCGCTATGAGTAGCTGGATATTGATGAATATCACTGCTAGAAGCTTCCTCGTATGTTTCAAGTTTGACACTTACAAAGCATTCAGGTAACATATGTTTCAAACCATACTGCACCGAATCCCCTAATAGAGTCACATCATCTCTCCGTTGATCCATCACCGTGACCCCTCATTGCATTTCTATTTGGAGATTACAGCAACCTGCAAATAAACAAGTAAAAAATTATCAACAACAAAAACAAACAAGCAATACACCTTAAGAGCAAACAAAATGTACACAGAGAACGCAACACAGCAGAAAAATAAAGGGACTAGTGTAAATCAAGGAAGAGAAATAAAAAACAAAAATCTGTTTTATAAATTTTCAAGAGGAAAACGTTGTTAGCGTCATTAAAAGGACTAAATGATCGCAAGAGTAACAATTGCATTAGATTAAGAGGAATTCAAGCAGACAGCTAAATGTTTGAATCACGGTGAGCAGATGAAAATTAATCTGACATAGTATAAATTTAGCAAAGATAGAAATACTGCACTGTGGTAAAATCCCAAAGATATTGCTGAAAATTTGTTTAAAATATAATAAAAAGTCGAATGAACATTTTATTTTGTTTATAAAAATCAATAGCATGAAACAAAAGTAAAGAGGGGCCCTCAAGTCCAATTCTGATTAGGCTTAGGCCCTGCGGTAGGTACTTACACAGGGAGTATTTTATCAAATTAGTCGTCACTTGAACTTAGTCCGGCAAGGTGCGATTGTCCCTCAGAGATTAAAAAAAGTCACAAACTCTAACTCTGGTGTCACAAAATTAAACACACCTCTGCTTTTGTTTACGTACACGGTGCATGCAAGTTCACACAGGACTCTAGTTCATATCACCTTCTGTTAACAATACCCCACAAAAAGAAAGAGCCCACTAAAGTTCCTATCACAGTAAACAGGAACAGCTTATCAAATGTTAGAAATGTAAGCAGCGGAGGATCATAATAACTTGGAACTTGTTTTGACTCTTATTACGAATTCCGATGCTCTGTGTTCAAGAGACCAGACAGGCGCGACGTTGCCAGCTGCCGTGAATCGGCTTTTGGGTTGGGCCAGTCGTCTGCGACGTTGCCGATACAAAGCAAAAAAATTATACCACATCACGAACTTAATTGCCACTTAAGTTAATCGTAAGTAGAAACGATACAATTGTGAAATTAAAAAGGTATTCTAAAAGAATAGTATTCAAATTAGTTTGTTAAAACTTTTTAGTTTGAGCAGGCGTTAGACGTAGGAAAGTAAAACATAATGCCAGATTTGTAAGTTGGCTAAAGGGTTACTGCTATCGTCGCAAATACACCAACATCCACCATCCGTCACTAAAATTCAAATTGAAAAAAACAATTAGAACAGTTCTTTCTTGAAATCATCCTTCACCTGCATGAACCAAATTACTAAAATTCGTATTTTTGTGGTAAATACAAACGCTTTTTTTGGAAGGTAGAAGGAATTTATTTCTCGATATTGCACCGGCATGTTGGTAATGGTTAGCATTAGTCCAAGGCAAAACACAACAAAAGACGACACTCGTGAGAGATAGGGTTATATTTTCGCTGATTTTGCTGTCAAATCTAAAATTCGCGAATTTGTGCAAAATGACACCGAGCACTGGTGGTCCAGCCATGGAAAATCAGAATCCAACTTTGTATAAACGTGCTGCGGACAGGGAGATAACGCCTGCGGAATTGGATAATAATGTTGTTGACCCATTCGATGCAAGAGAAATATTTGGTATCTTTCTGCTCCATTCTAGTCTAGCTATTAAGTGACTGAAAACAAGGGAACAGAACTAATTGCCTTAATCAATTGATATTTCTATTTTTTGTAGATTTAATAAGAAACATCAATGATCCAGAGCATCCTCTCTCATTGGAAGAACTGAACGTAGTTGAAGAGCGGCTCTGCCTGGTATGGATACAGCTGAAGTGGAGGCTGCTGGGGCCTTGACAGATCCTCAGTTCATGCAAATGTGTATTTTTCAGGTTAACGACCAGCAGAATACCATTGATGTAACCTTCACACCCACCATCCCCCATTGCAGCATGGCTACATTGATTGGCCTGTGCATTCGTGTGAAGTTATTGCATGCTCTTCCACCAAGGTAAATTTGAATGTTGTGGGCCTAGGTGTATGTATGACTGATACACTTCACCAGTATTTTCTTATAAATGTTGGAAGTTTCTGGTTATGGTCTGAATTGTTCAAATATTGTTTCTTTTTTAAAACTTGACTAATAATTTTTTATTTTCTGCCTTCACAGATTCAAGGTTACTGTAAAAATTTCTCCTGGAGCACACGTTTCTGAGGCAGCCATTAACAAACAGTTAGCAGACAAAGAGAGAGTTGCTGCTGCTTTAGAAAATAGTCATCTTATTAAAGTCATTAATGAATGCATTTTTGCTGCTCCACCAACATTTTCAAAAATCATTAGAAATTAAGTCTGCCATAAATTGTTACCCATCTTAAATATTTCTTCTTGTTTGTGTCAACTGAATACAAGCCGCCACCACAGTTAACTGGATTTGCTTCAATTTTTATCGACACACCAAATCTCTTTTCCTCAGGAAGGTAGATAGGATTAGACATTGATAGGTTACAAAACAGTTATAATTTGGTCACTAAACCACAAACTTCAATTACTTTTTGATTTTGGTTACATCATATTTATATGTTTTTCTGATGGGTTCACGACCTGCTCTCTCAAATGCAGCACTATCAAGTTCGGCTCTTCGCTTCACTTCATCAGCTAAGCGATTGTTAACTTGGGCTGGAAAATAAGTTGCATTACAAACAAATCAATTAGACTTTTAGCTAACCAGTAATCAGCAAAGCATGAATATAGGCGTACCTTCTTTTATGCGAGACCAGAATCCTAGTTTACTAGTACTACTTGTTTTCTTTGCAGTTTCTTTCTTTAGCATTTCTGCAATTTTTGCATTGCCAATATCACCTAAATTGTAATACTCTTTAACACGTGGATGTTTTAGGACTCTGTGCTGAATTAGTGTCACACATTGAGATGATATCCAATAAAGTACAATAGCCTGAAAGTAAAGAGATAGACCATCAAACACTAGGCAGTTTAAAGATTAAATTTGGTACCAAATGTGATTAGATAAGATATTTCAGACAAAACGTCTGGCATTCATAATTTTCAAGGTCACTTACACCTTGGAAATTCATGCTGATCAAAAACAAAGCTGCTGATACTCCTACCATGCCAGCATGGACAAATATAGGATTCTTGCCAGGAAACATATTTTGTATTTCCTTGGCTGTCTATAAAATCAGAAAAACAAAACAAAAAAAATTAAAATGCAGATTGATTGGTAATAATTTTAACACAATTGGTTGTTTGGTTCTTTTACCAATAGGTGGATATAAAAGAGCAATCCATTAGCTGCAGGAAGGAGCATTGTGGGATCTTTCATTGTCAAGTCCACAATTGAATAAAATCCACCAGTTTGTAAGGCTTCCACAGGTAGATTACACATTGACCTCAAAGCTTGGGTAAAACTAAGGAGAATAGCACCCTGCAAGAAACAAGGACAAAGTTACAATTTTATTCACTTATCTTTTAGTAACATACCTGAAACATGAAACATGTTGATCAACTTGCCTGAGCCAATCCGTATTTTAAAGCCCCATACATTGATGGCTGTTCTTTAGTAAAGTTGCTAAGTTCCATGGCATACCTGGAAGCTATGCACATTTTTAAAGTTGACAAGTAGTAACAGAATTTTAGACAACATTGGAATCCTACCTTCAATTATGTCATTTTGTTGACGTGCCTCCAACATTTTCTGCTGTAGGAACTGCATTTGAGGTAAAACATGGGCAGTTTTTATGGATTCTTGCCTAGTGCGCACAACAAGTTTAAAGCAAAGAACTCGAATCAAAGCAGCCACTGTAAATATATGATAGATGAGAAAAAAATATAATTGAAAGACTAAAGTAATCAAAGATACATAGTATTTCTTGAACCAGAATTATACAAACCCGCAACAATTGTCCATCCCCAACTTAAATCTGTTGAAACATGAACAAACTCCAAGAGATGTTGAAGTAATCCATACGGGGACCAGCCACCCAAACCAAGACTTGTAAGACTTGGCTCGCCATTCTGAAGGACAGGACATCTATTAATTATCCCAACAAGCATATAAAATCAAATTTTATGATTAAATATTGACGGTTTAAAACATCATACCGCCAGCAATTCTAAAACTTTAGGTCCTGGTAACGCAGGTATTTCTGGTATGGGTCCGATCGATTTTATTACTTCCTCAACACTTGCAGGAGTGAATGAATCATTTCCAGTAGAGGTTGCAGCTTCAATAGCTTTAGTAATAACAGGCGGAACAACACTGTTTGAACTAGAATACCTCACAGTACTTAGACTAGGGTGAAGATGAGGAGACTTCTTCAGTAATATAGTTCCCGAATTTGAAAGTCTTGTATTCAAAGAGTGCTGAAATGAACAATGACAGGGTAAAAAATTTAACAGGATACAAAGTGTCACAACTGTCAAGATAATTGATTGGTTGTATAATATTTTTTAATTTTAAAAAATGAATTTGAAGCAGTAAAAACAATAAAATTACACCAAATCTGCACATAAGTCATTCAAGAGAACAGGCAGATAGCATAATTTATAACAAAGTTGAAAAAGTTTACAACAATGTTAAAATCTTAAGATGTTCATGTATTTTTCAAAATAATAATCATACAACATTAGAATTGACAAATTAAGGAACTAGCAGGAGTTTTCATGTTATCTCTAGTACCTTACCTTGGAAAATACGGCACAAGAATACCGAACTCTTTGATGTAATCCTACAAGTCTCTTGCTAAACATTTTAACAGTCTTTCAAGTAAATCTTCATTCATTAACAATTAAACATTCAATTACAAAATAGCAAAAGTTAGGGAGGTTAAACTTCAACTACATGGTGCATGCGATGCGCGGAAACCTGAACCAAGAATTTTTCATATCGAGCTTGTGAACTATGAATGAATGAAGAGGGGAGAATCAGGATGGGTGTGTCTGCTAGTTTTTCTCCCTCTGTCCCCCCTTCCCCCCTTACCCTGTCATTTGCTCTATGTTTAATTTGGTTAGAAGATTTGCGTTTGGGTGTGTGGGAGGTAAATTAGCACGATGAATGGAATACGAGGATTTACACCAATGTTCATCCCGACAGTCAATACCTTTTTTAGGAAAAATGTAAATAATTTTGCCAACACGACTATGGTTGCCACTAAAAGTAAGTACTTGGTAATAGTGAGTTAGTAACAAACCTAGAACGTGCAGCTTAGGTTAGATGAGGCATACCCTAATTTTATGCCACCAACAAGTGTGTAGTATTTGAGTTTTTATGTCAGACTCTCATTGACTCGTAAACTTGTATAATATACACAGTATCTGAGGTGGGCTTGTTACTGTGAAGCTTTATGTGTATTCAAAGCTTACCAAATAAGATTTTGCTTTCAAAGTATCAACTTTCTGTGTTTCTTCTTCCTTGGTAATTGGGTGATATGCTTTAACAAATTTATAGAAACTTCTACATTTTCTCCAGGGCTTCTTCCCACCCTGACTTCAATCGCAGGTCTCCGCACCCATTCAGTTGTCAAGAGAACTGCCCAGCCTTTTCCCAAAGCAGCCCCTCATCAACAAACTGTGGTTGACAAAACAGAAGAGGAAGTTAGTGCGATTGAAGGTGATTTTTATTACCTTCATTGGTTTATAACTGTTCGACTAGATGTATTCTGGAGTTTTAAATACTGGAATTTTAAAATTGAACTCGAGACTATGTTTTCCTTTTTACTGACTGTTTTCTTTACCCTTTACAGAAGTAATTTCCAAAGTTAATCATCAAATAAGTAATAAAAGCCACGGCAGATTATTTGCCGTGATTCAACTATTTAATAGGCAGTGGAAAATAACCCCTGAAGATGTTTTGGTCATAGAAGGCTATTGGCCTCCTAATATTGGCGACACCATTCGACTAGAGAAGGTACTCAAAGATTTTATTGTAAAGTAATGTTTATGATTAGTCTCTCTAAAAATTGTGGTTTGCATGTTAAAGGTCTTATTGGTGGGGTCTTCTGACTTTTCCCTTGTTGGGATGCCTCTTCTTCGACCAGACTTAGTTAATATTCAAGCAACTGTCATAGAGAAGCGATTATCACATACCAAAACAAATTTTAAGAAGATAATGAGGAAGCAATATCAAAGAATCCACTGTAAGTCACAACTGCAATAATTGTAGTGATTTAGTTCTGCTCAATTGTTCATTATTAGGTATTTGATATTTTTTCCTACAGTTTTCAGGTTTCAGCAGACTATGATCAGAATCAATTCAATTGAGCTGACGAGCCGCATTGATGAGAAGAAAGACATTGAAGGGCTTGAAGGCAGAGTCTTTTAAATATTGAATGTACATCCTCTTATTTCTAGTTGACTGGCAATTAAAAATTTGGTTTCCGTTTACTAAGCAGTTGTGTTACTTCTAAAGGATAAGAATGATCCTCATAAATGAAAAACAGAATTAAAAGTTTTCGGCAATTAATAAACTATCTATATTTTTTGTTCAACATTCAATATAACAATTTGGTATACGCACTTTTCACATATTTAAATAGTCACTTGAAATTACAACAGATAAACTCCAGGTGAATTATTTGAAATTCATAACTTTCTAAAATTAACAAGAGTATAAAACAAAAAAAGATTCAAACCACATATAACATCATAAATTCATAGCTATTACCACACTTTAGAAACTCAACAGCATAAGATTATATTTTATTTTTAGTCAATTGAATACCATACACACTGAGGAGATCAAATGTTCAATTGTATTGCACTTCAAACCACTGTATCAAAGAGGTAAGAAACTACTACTAGAGAAGGTGATTGAATGGAAAAGTAGATCAATCATTCCCAAATAAAACTGCATCAATTATTAATTAATCAGTAATGTTTTGGATCACTTATTTACCATGCTTGTAACGAAAGGGACTAGATAAGCTACATTGCCAACCTTAATAGCACGGAAAAGCTCACCTGCTGCCACTGAAGAGGCTGGTGTACTCTTAATAGTGTTACCAACAGGTTTATTTAAATTGTTGACAGATAAATTGGACTGTACTATAGGTTTGTTATTATTTACAATATCAGCTTGAGCAGACACAAGTAATTGATTAGAATGAGGCTTTGAACCATCATTTTGAAGTTGTTTGTTGGAGATACCAAACAAGGTACTCAAAGTTTGAGCTTGCATAGGTGTAATATTGCGAAGATTAAAGGATCCGTCGTTACTCAACTTCCTTGGTATAGCATGGACAGGCACTTCAACTAGCTTTCTTGTTATCGTGAAACGTTTGGCTTTAGAATCAGAAAGTGTTATGCAAACACTTTTGCGGTTTTCTGTGCCAGAGACATCTTCATTCATAGCAATATTATTAGGATTTATACTTTTGTATTCTACTTTGCGTGATCCAGTTTGGGATGTAGCAGGGGGCTGAATACATGAGTCTGAATGGCACCGTGAGAATGAGAGCTTCTTACGGGCATTTGACATTTTCTGGGCAGCTTCTAGCTCTTCAGAAGACCGAATCTTTTCTAGCTCTTGGCCAGCAACTTGAAGAATATCATCAAGAGAACATTGGTACTGAGGATAACCTGATACATGTCTGGCAGATACATTACTAGATGTCTCACATTGTCTGACACGTACACTAATATTGTGGTCACTGGATATCCTTGGTATCTTTTCAGGAGGACCTGTGAAAAGAGAAGAAAGGGTTTTGTTCATTTATGAGTTAATAAACAAGTGTTCAATACTGTTCTGTCATTTTTAATACATACCTCCTTTAAATTTGGAATCTTTCCTTTTCTGATTAGTATTTAACTTGTTCTCTACTCCTTCATCATCTTCAAATGAGTTTGCAGAGACAAAATTTTTGAAGCTGAATGACTGAATACCTATAAAATACAGTACATTTAATTAATTGATAGTTTGGATCACAACAGTTCAAAGAAGAGTGAAAAAAAAAGGTAACAGTAGAAATGATTTGAAAAAGTTTATGATTGATAAATATTTGCTTACTTTGCCCAGGGTTAATCTTCACAGGTGGACCAGTGTAGACAAATACAGGCTTCCGCATTGAATTGGTGGAAGTTTCAATTTTGGTAATGAGCCCAAGAGATGTCAAAACATTTGCAATATCATATAAACGTCGAACTTTGGTCTTCAAGCGAAGCATACATTTGCATGTCTTACTACCTAGGTCACAAGGCTTATCACTTGAGCTACTGTGACAGTCAACTTTCATTCCCCACAGCCGTCGCTCGGTAACTTCTGCAGCCTCACTCACAAGCATTCGTGTGGCAAGGTCCAGGTTTATTCTTGCACTTGACTGATAAGAAAATGTATTAGTTGTAAAGGCAGTTTGAAAATCTAATCCAGGATATAAAATAAAACAATTTGATGCATACTTGATGTGAAGCCAGAAACAACATAATAAATTTGAGGCACATGACGCCAAGGGTACGCTCATCAGAAAAAAACCCATCTGAGCTTGGTTTGTCACCACCTGAAAATAATATTTAACATCTCTTATTTACTTGAACATTAAAGAGCTTGAATATCCTTGTGGTACCAATTATTGTTATACATCATGAAATTCTTCATAAGAATGTTACTAACCAGTATTAGGAGGGGCAGCACAAGAACCATGTTGCAAATCTCTCGAAGAACAACAGCATGTTGGTCCAGAGACCAAACGAGAACCACTCTTTTGTTTTCTTTGAATATCCTGCAACTATTCCCCCAAAATTGAGAATTTTTTAGCATTTGCAATGGCAGTAATAAGATATTTCAGTTTATTTCAGGGTAAATAAAAATAAATAATTTCTACCTTCTCATTAATGCCATACTCAATGGCCATGGCTTTCAATTGAGAAAGAGTAGCTTGGAGATTTTTGCACCCATGCCACTGATAACGATTCTTGGCAACCTGCAAAGTTTTAAAAATGTCAGATGGTTTCTCAACATTTTAAATTTACAAATATCCTTTGTAGCAAAAATATCTTTGATTATGCAAAAAGTTCTGCATTTTATAAAAATAACTATAGATATGCAAAATTAAGTCTGCTGCAAGTGTAAAAAGGGTTTTTCAAATATTTATTTTAAATCTTACCTTTGAGGCCATATGAAGACTTTCCAGTATATTAATGATGTCATATATCCTTCTTTTCACAATGCCCAATTTTTCTGCTACACGGTCTAGACAAATTTCCATTACTTGGCAGCCATCAGGTAAGTTTAAAGGAAACATAGCCAGAAATCTATTTCACACAAAATATATGTTAAACATCGTACAAAAAATAACAAGAAAGAGCATTCAAGACTAAGATTTTGCTTCGTGCTAATTCTAACACAAGCAGGTGCAAGTGCCAGGCGGACCTACCTGTCACATAATATTCCCAAAGACTTGTCCTTTCTTGTCCTCGGATCTGTTTCTTTCGTATTAGCATTTTTGACAACTGCTTTCACGCTACGGACTGGAGACACCAGTTCACTGGCAACCTTGGTTAAAAGTTTCAAATTTGCAGTGGGTGAAACAGGAATGTTGTTACAAAGTGTGCCAAGTGCTTTACGATCAGGTGATTTCATCATGATGCTTCTAAAAATTGAAAAGGAAACAAATGATTTAGATCATAGCTCACAAATACATTATAAACATTAGTAAAGACAAATATTTGTACTTCAAAAAATAAAATAAACAGGGTGTTGCAAGATGAGAAAATATTAAGAAAGTGTCTGATACATTGAAAAAACAGTACATTAAGCACACTTCTTTGCAAGTTAAGTTGAACAGCTTTCATTAGTTTTTCAGTAAGATATGCAAGCACCTGCATTTAAATTTCCTGACATTTAATGCAGAACACAAAGTTCGGACAGCACCCAGTGAGCAATGAAAGACAGATATCAGAACGATATCAGATCAGAAACGTGTCAATTTAAGGACCACATTTCTATCGATCTGACGCGAAAACCGATAAATTTCTGATGTCTGACGTCGTTTTAATATCGGTGTCACATTTCATTGCTCACTGGGCACTGCTACAGGTGCATAGTCAAGCTCAAAAGGACAATATCGCCCGCTTAACTCCAAAGTGGCGACTGCTTAATTAATACAGCAGAACAACACCACCGTGCATGCCACAGTCCTTGACAACTAACCAGAAATTCGTTGCAGGGCGAAGGAACGTTTGCCCGCGCTAAACACAAGTCAGTCGGTCCTGAATACCGGTTTGCGCGCCGCGACGGTGCTGTGTCCGCCCTCCCTCGCCAAACGCCAAATCATCAACTGATTCGTTCGTAAACAGTAGGGTGGGAGGGAGGAGTTTGGGCGGGGAACGCGGGCAGGGCGGAGAGGGGGTGGGGTGGGGGGGTATCCGTCGAGCGGTCGGGAGGCACGAAGCGCGTCGGAAATGCCCGAATCACGGCGTGTCAGGGCGTAAGAGGCGTCGAAAGGGGGAGAGGGGAGGGGGGGGGGGCGTCACAAGGGCCGGAGGGCGCTGCGCTACGCAACGCCGAGAAAAGGCGCGGGGCGCGAGGGTCATGTGTGGGGGCTGTCCCTAAACGGGCGTGACGGACTTGTTAAGCCCTAAGGCAACTGTCGTCAGTCGTCAGTGTCTGCTCCGTTCACACCGTTGCTAGCGTGCATATAAATCACACAGAGCTTCAGTAAAAAAAATATTTATTTGCTATCATTATACAATAAATAAATACAGTCACAAGTCGGGTAGCGGGTCCGCGGCTGCTGGCGTGATTCACTTGGGCTTGTCGGCCGGCTTGTCGTCCTCGCCGGGCGGGCCGCCCTTGCCGCCCTTGCCGCCCTTGTCGCCCTTGGCGGCCAGCAGCTGGAAGCCCTGGAAGTCCACGGGCAGGGTCGAGATGGCCTCGGAGAAGCACCGCCGCACCACGCGGTCGATCTCCTGGGCGAACTGCGGCTTCACCTCGCGGATGATGTCGTGGGCGTTCTCGTTGAGGAAGGTGTTGACCGTCTCACCTGCGGGGAAGAGGAGCAAAACCGTGAGCGGGAGATGCGACCAACAGGTGAGCAGGGCGGCGTTTAGGGACGCGCCCCTCTGACTGCGGCGCGCGGCGGCGGCGGCCTGGATGAGGTAGGGTTGAGCGGGGGG